CTTGTCCACCGGCCATCTGTCAGATCCGTCCTACAAGGTCTGATGAAAAAGAGGCTTTTACCAGCTGAGCACTGCATTGCTAAAAGTAGGTTCACGTCCCTTCATAACACTCAGCCTGATGCCTATAGTTTAAGATTCATCTTTTTTGGCAACTCAGCATTGAATGGATGAGTGGTTACGTCAGTTTATTTGCTGTTGATAGCTGTAAAGAGAAAATACACAATGATTGATTTATTTTTTAATATCTATACTACTAATTAATTAGCCAACAGATATGTACTATGCCTATCTACATGTAACAAAACCTGGCTCAATGTTTAACATCTTCTCTGTCAGCACAAATTAACTAAGGTGCATTCATTTTTTTCCCCCCACAAGAGCATCATAAATGGTGCTATTACTCACATACAAAAGTGTGACTGACTGGTTATATTAAAGCACTGTAGCTTTTTTGTGGACACAGTTCCCATCCAATAATACTATATGGTTCAAAATTTGTGGATTTTCTGTTTGATTATTTACTTCAAGAACAGTGAATCTTTCATATTAAGGGGTTTCAGTGACAGAACTACTTCCTGATTCGAAGAGGACATTTGCCAGTTCAAAACAATAATTACTAATTGATCATTTATAATTGCCATGCCAATGGAGCACCTTTCTCACTCTCAGCCATAGACTGTATAAAGAGTGCGCCACTCAAATGAAGCTTGTGATGCTAGAGGTTACAGGAGTGAATTTGGAGCCAGGCTATATGAACAGGAGATTTTAATAGACAAAACTGCAAAATAAAAACACCAGAGCCATGTTGTGTGGGTTAATATAAACATTTTAAGACCAAAATGACGAGGCTCACTGCAGCAGTTACAGCGAAAGGGGCGACAATATTCTAATGTAAGTAAATGGGAGACAGGGTCAGAAGGAACCGAAAGCACCTGCATGCGAACTTCCTACTTGGAACGCGTTAGTTATGTCCATTTATATATACAGTCTACGGTCCCAACTGATACATTTTGAACCTTTATGACTGAATAATGATTTACATTCTACATACCGTATCCTTCATGTGGATAGACTCTGTATTATATTATTATTACATTAATGATAACCATAAACTAGGTGAAAATGCAAAATGACATAACATGTCCATAGAGTTCTCATCTGCCCTTTTTAAACAATGGGCACCTTAAAATTGCATCATGTGAAGCCAATCTATTAACTACAGTGATGCAAATATTTGTTATGTTTTTTTTTTTTTAAAGTACTCTATTTATGTATTGTATTTGTTTTCTTAGTAAAAAGAAATTTCACTTCTGGAACTATTCCTGGTACCCCTGGTCTGAATGGGGAGGATGGAGTTGAGCAAACGGCTATTAAAGTGTCTTTAAAATGTCCAATTACATTCAGAAGGATCCAGCTACCAGCAAGAGGCCATGACTGCAGGCACATACAGGTAACTGGCAATTTATAAATACATACATGTGTTGTTATTATTTTTCTGTAAAAATTTTTTTTTATCTAGTGTTTTGACTTAGAATCATATTTGCAACTAAACTGTGAAAGAGGGACTTGGAGATGTCCTGTATGCAAGTATGTACACAAAACAAACAAACAAACAAACAAAGCAATTTAAGATACTGCCTCTTGTATCCTAAATCTATCATTGAATTTTGTGCTTTTTGATGGCAGTAAAACAGCGTTGCTGGAAGGACTTGAGGTGGACCAATACATGCTTGGGATACTTGTGTACATTCAAAAGTGAGTATAAGAAACAGTGTCTTTTTATGGGTCATGTTATTATGTTTCTCTTGCTCTTGATTTTCCTCAGTTCAGACTATGAGGAGATTACTATAGACCCAGTGTGTGGTTGGAGACCTGTACCTGTAAAACCAGATCTCCACATAAAAGAGGAGCCAGACGGGCCTGTTCTGAAACGCTGTCGCACAGTCAGCCCCAGCCACATGGTTCTACCTAATGTCATGGAAATGATTGCTGCTCTGGGGCCTGCATCTTCACCATACCAAACCCTGACAGCAGGGGGCAGGACAACTCCTGACTTCAACAGGCCTGGTAAGAAGCACTGGCTGCTATGAATTATTAATGTAATAGATAATTTGGTATGCCCACAACACAGCTGGTGATGTTGTTATTGTCCTCTTTATAAGTTAGATGTATTTTTCATTTATATAATATGCATATTTTATGAAGAGACTATAAATAAATATTCAATATTGACATTCTATATTATAGTATCTCTATGTCTTAATGTACAGAAAGTGTTGTAAGCATTGCTTTTGAAAATGATTTGACGTGGAAAAATACAAGTAGTACTGAGTGCCTCAGTGTAAGCTCTATTGATGCTTGTGTTTACCACACAGCTGGGTGCACATTTATTTTAAACCACACTAAACACTATTATATAATGTTAATACTTTTGGTAGTGTGGAGTTATATGTATTGTTTTGATGCTTCAGCGAGCCAAGGATTTATCAGCCAATCTGGATTCTCAGACTTCCCCAACACACCTGGAACCCCAACATTAGGAGAATATCCAAGTTCAGGACCACCATCATCGCTCTCTTACTCGTCTGACCCAGTAAGATCAGTTTTGTCCTACACATAGAAACATACTGCGCATGTTTCTAGTTTAGTTCGTTCAAGATATTGCCTCTAGCAACTGAATGGACTTCATTTCTTTACCTTCATGGTTGACGTAGCATAAACCAATGGCCAGGACAGCAAAGCAATTCTCAATATGACAATATTAGAAGAACCCACTTATGCAACTGATTGAAAATTCTTTTTTACAAGAGTGTTGTTTAAGTACAAGATTAAATATACAAATTGTCATAATGAAATATTTTTTATATTTTACCAGGGTTTGTGGTCAGGTACATCTATGCCCATTTTGTACAATTGTGTGCAGCTTTCACTGTCGAGTCCTTCTGCTTCACAAGGTCTCTGGAGAGTCTTTGACTGAAGCTGAAGTAGACAGCATTAACTGAAATGTATTTACACAATCATGCGCAGTAACAGGCTCCCCCTGTCACATGCAGCTGCTTCAAAGTGTCTATCTTATGTCATTCACGGCTGGTGTGTGGCCTCTTAACAATTTAAACACATGCAATATTTTTTCTTCATTTTAAAATTGAATTTTGTTATTATACTTGTATGAATTAAATTTTTAGAAGGACCTGACCTCTCCTTTCCCTCCTGTCAGGCTCCTCATGCAGGGCGTATCGAACACTCCCACAACATGGGCCCAGGTGCCCATGGTAACCAGGGCCATGCTGACACAGGCAGCCCTTTGTCCCAGAGGACCAGTAGTACCCAGAACACACGACTACAGAGTGATGGCTCGTTTGGGCTAGGAGGCCCAGTCACACCTGCGGGAGAAAGTGCAGACCAAACCCTTGATGTGAGTGCATTAATAGTTATGTACTTAACAACAAATAAACATAACTTTGACTTTGAGACAATTGTAAACTGTTTTGTCTCTCAAATAAAGTTTCTTCCAGAACTGACTAACCCAGATGAGTTGCTGTCCTACTTGGGCCCCCCTGACCTACCAAATAACAGCAGCGATGATCTTCTGTCATTGTTTGAGAACAACTGACCGCTCACTCCACAGCTGTCCACCAAGCACACACTACCTGGGCCCCAGACTCCGTCCCTGTGTGCGGAGGCATCTAAGTGTATATTTTGAGCATGCACTGTATGTTTGTACATATGTTTTGTGTTTTGTATCTTTTAATTGTTTTGCTCATTTCCATTCAAAATCATGTGTTGTTTTTATAGTCATTGATGCAGTAAGCACTGACAATTCAAACCAGCAGTATAAACTATTGCACATGCAGAAGGAATTGTATTTTACGTATTTGAGTGTAAAAGGAAATCTAATCATCTAGCTGGATACTAATTGAACAAAGTGACTTACATGTATGTGCTTAAACGTGTTGGGTTTGTACCAGCCATATTTTTCTAATCCCTCACAAATTTAGTTTACAGCATCCTTGTGCACTGTGATAGACTTTCTGTTACCCCCTGAGGGATCTAAGCATAATGTAACATTAAGTACAGCTGTTGTGTTGTGGCATTTTCTGCCATTAGAAAGCTGTGTTCTATTTATTAGATTCGACATGTATAACCCATCGTGGCACGGGTTTATGTTATGTATATCAAATGTTTTCATTAGAGAACGTGTGTAACAAAAGATTATATTCATTGAAAATTTGTATTAATTTGATAATGAATTGTTGATGGAGCTATAAAGTATTGGTAGTCAACTGAGTTCATACAAATTGTATGTCATGGGAATTATCACCTGACAATAAATAATGCATTTAGATTTTTCTACAAATAAGATTTGGACTGAACCCTGTGGGGTCCTAGATTATGTGGGGAAGGTAGCAATAAATGTTTTTGACTATTAATCAAGGACTAATTATGTTGGGAATAGGCTACATTAATATTTAATTGCTAATTCACTGAAATATCTTTTAATATTATCTTGTACATATTTTGTAATACATTGAAAAGGCCATTATTTTCTATTTATTTTAAATCATATTTGTCATTGTAGCTTTATTTCTCTTTGCTTAAAAAATATGAATAATAAAAGGATTTGTTTGAACACTGATTCAGTTATAATATGATAAACACTTTTTTCATTATGCTTATTTTGCATGATCAAAAAAAAACAACTAAATAATAAGGTTTATCTTTCTTGTACATTGATTTAGGCTATAACAAGGTAATCTATTATGCAACTGTAACAATGTTTTATGTGAACTATTCTAAATACAGCGCCTGCTCTGATTTAGTAACACAAATGTAAGCTGCCTTTCATAGCTCAGAGCATCTTGTCAAGATGAGTTGACGAAAGTCCCGCCCCCTACCCCCATTTTGTTTCTCATTGGTCCAAACTGTGGCCCAGTGTCCACACACATAAGGTTCTGAGGGTGTGCGCACTTTCATTGGTGGCTTAAGTCATTGGCATCACAGGCCCAAAGGCACATATTTATAAAGATCTGGTTGGAGCGGATTGAACGCGGTGTCGGGATTTAAGACTATCTCTCAAACATATCTGTTAAAATGGGAAACCCTCGAGTTTATTTTGACATTACAATTGATGGTTCCAACGCAGGCAGGATTGTAATGGAGGTAAGACATATGCATTTGCTAGAAAAACTAGGCTATATGAATCCCCAAACATTATGGTGATCAAGGTTCTTTTGTGAGACATTTGAGTGTGTTAGGTTGAAAGTAGATCTTAAATTTTAAATGTCCATAAAGTGTGTTGTTGCTTTACTGGGAACGCCCATGGCAGCACTGAAGTAGAAATGTCATGCATTCACCATAGTGAGACCTAGATAGTCTTGTTTTTGTTTTTGATGAACATATCGGACATATTACCAAATAATGTTTATGTAGATGGTGAATGTGGTATGATTAGCTACTAGGCTGCTGCAGTATTCCCTCATGAATGTCTTTGTGTTCCAGCTGAGAGCTGATGTGGTTCCCAAGACTGCAGGTAAGACACGGAAAAAGTCGATTTTACATTGCCAATAGACCTAAAAGAAATACCCTAACTGCAAAACTACACCCACCCTCTAAAGATTGTTTCCCTTATTGAGAGAGCACAACACTCGTGACTGATGATCAATGATTAGGTTAATATTAATTTTATGTTGACAGAAAACAGAAGCTTAAAGAGACAAGGGCCAGCATAGCTCTGATGCTCTCAGTGATTTTGTCCTACATTGCCTTTGTTAACTCTGACCTCATTTATTCTGAATGCATAATGGCCTACATGACTCTCTGCACAGCATTCAGCATAAGCTCTTCAATTTGCTCCCCTCACATATAGTTCACTTGTTGACCAGAAGAAATTCTTGTCTGGGGTTTGATAAATTATTTACTTTACAGAAAATTTCCGTGCGCTTTGTACTGGTGAAAAGGGATTTGGCTATAAGGGCTCCTCATTCCATCGCATCATCCCTAAATTTATGTGCCAGGTATGTTAGCTGTTTCCATGTTTATTATAACATATACTCTGCTACTTACACCAAGTTGTTTTCAGGGGGGAGACTTTACCAACCACAATGGTACTGGAGGAAAGTCCATTTATGGAGAGAAATTTGCTGATGAGAACTTCCAGCTAAAGCACACAGGCATGGGCTGTCTCTCCATGGCCAATGCAGGGCCCAACACTAACGGATCCCAGTTTTTCATCTGCACAGCCTCCACTGACTGGTACGCTCACCCACTGTTGATAAACTGTCATTAAACAACCTTGCTTTGCCTGTACCATACTAAGGTCTGAATCTGTTTTGCAGGCTGAACGGGAAGCATGTGGTGTTTGGCACTGTTGTAGAAGGCATTGATATTGTCAAGGCGATAGAGAAGCATGGGACAAAAAGTGGCACTCCTAAAGCTAAAGTTGTTATTGCTGACTCTGGTGAACTTAAATAGATTGACAGAGCTACATCACATTACTGTATCTTAGGTATGAAGTACGCTGAGATTCAGGACTATGTACTTGCAGTAGAAAACCCAGTCCACTTCCAACTTTTACCTTCCTTAAATTATGTGTATGTCTATGTTCTTTGTCTATTATGTTGTATTTTATTTGTCCAACCAAGGTTATATTTGTTAACTGAGAAAATTATTATGTTAATAAAATGAGATTGAACTGTGCACTGACTGCTTTTTCAACTGAACTAAAATTATATAAGGTTTCCTACCATCTAGTGGTAAGGGTTGAAATTGCACCAAAATGAAAATCTCCCTTCCCCAGCTTTCATCTTCCAACATGAGCTAAAAATATCTCAGCCACAGACCACTCTAAGATAATAATCAAGGCAATCCTTCTGCAGATTTTGCTCTCAAGAAAGAAACAAATAATACATTTATAACATTTTTATTAAAACTTTCAAGGCATAATAAATTAAATCTCATAAGTGATATAGTAGTTTAAGGCATCAAAATCTCCTTTGCCAGGTTACTTCACAATGAAGCACAAAAAGAGAGATTACAAAAATAAATAAAATAATATGTATAATCCTCCTTACCATAAAAATGTCTATGAAAGATAGAAATATTTATAACAAATTGAAGGTACAGTATAATACAAACACCCAGCCAACACCTGATTACTCACCAGTACAATATAAGTAATGCAGGTAGTACGGGGAATACCACACACAGTATGTGAGATGTCATGACAAACAAAGTCAAACAAATACAAATAATACAAATAAAGTATTGTCAGCCTGATGTAAAATGTCCACAACACTACCACTTTAGGTTATGATAACAGCAGGGCTCCATGTGTGGAGAATATTCCATATGCAAAACCTGTGACAAGTTACACACTTTGATTTAAACGCTGGTTTAAATTGGCTTAATACAGTATTGTGCATGTCTAATTTGCACATCCTCTACAAAATACATAAAGGCAGTTTGTAGCTTTTGAAACGGCACCTTTGTAATATAAATAAGCTGCTCAACACTTACTAGACGCATTATCGTGTGCCATCAAAATAAAATTACCAACTGATTTTTAATTAGTACTAAGTCTAATTGAATTTGAAGCAATAACACAGCTTCACCAGAATATTTGACTCTGAAGTGAACTTGATAAATAATTCAGGACAAAAACACTTATTAAACACATATTAAAAATACAATTTTGAGAGTGTACTCACTACAACACATCAGCAACAGACTGTGTCCCTGTTTTATAATTATTATAATAATGTTAACACTTGTGATGCTATTCAAAAAGGCTACATAACAGTGCTGGTCCGTTGTCTAAGTGTGGTGACCATAATAGATCTAAAATACTAAAACAGTGAAAGTAAGCATAATTCTTATACAACTCTGGAGCTCACTGTGGTAGGAGGCCACAGGCTGAGGGCTCCAAAGTACCATTGCAATAGAAAACAATTATATTCATAAAAGCAACTTAGTTACAATATTTCATCACAGTGACAAGTGTGCCAATAAAGTTTTCTCAAAACATAATCAACAGTTTTGTTGTTTTAATAGATATGTAGTGTTTTTATTGTCTTTGATGCCATACTACCAAGTTGAAAATTATGTTGGTTGTTCCATGAACAAATAAATCCTGCTACAAAAAGATGGGCGTATGGGTTTTAGTTGACAATGATAAATATTTCTGAAAGAATTACTCAACTTATTATGTAAATTTAAAATCTTCTTTTCTAATAATTTTGGTTCAAATATTTTAAGGATGTAATTTGGTTTTCTCAATAGCCACGGTGCAATGAATTAAGAATAAATTATGTGCACCATAAATTGAAACAAACTTTTTAGTCCATAGAGTTTAATAACTTGAAGTTGGCTGCTCACTTGTTGTTGACTCTCAGCTCTGTGGGGATGTCTTTCTACTCTCTCTCAAGATGCTGTCCAGCCCATTGAGCTGACGGAGGAACCCTCTGTTTGGGATGACACCTCTGTGGTCCTTTACAGTCTTAATGGCCTCCACCAGAGTCAGGTTCTGTCTGATCATCAAATAGGCTAACACCAGCGTGGCAGAGCGGCTAACTCCCACAGTGCAGTGTACTAACACCTTGCCTAAATAAACACACAAACACAACAAAGGCCATATGCATCGAATATGTAAAAAGATACAATTTGTATAGGTCTAAAGCTGAGGTGCCCACATATGATATGATGTAAGACTTTATATATATTAACCGCATATAGGCCTAATGTGTGTGTGCCAGTGCGTAAGTAAACTCACCTCCATTGACGAGGGCTTTGTGAATAAATTCTGCAGCAGGATAGAAGTTCACACTCATGTCAAACGTGGGGGTGTCATGAGCCTCAATACCATGGTAGGTAATGCTCATCCCGGCATAATATTCTGCTCCTCCTCGCCATTTACTCTGGGCACAGTTTAGAATGTGTGTAATACCAAGTTTCGCCAGCTCTCTGCGGTCAGAAGCGATGTCTCTAGAAAGTTCAATATTGAACCATATTACACATACAAACACATTGAGAAAGAGCGAATGATAACGCCAAAAGCACCTACTGGTCTCCAATGAACAGCCGTGGCCACACTTCATCTGCATGGTTACACGCAGTTTTCCCAGTGTACAGCAGTCTCTCCAGCTCGGACACGGACAGGACAGGGGACGCTCGCTCGGAGTCTTTCCTGTTGGGGGATCTGGAGCTGCTCCTTGACCGGGAAAACCGGGACATAAACGCCATTTATTCTGAATGAATAACACCACTCTCGTTGCTGTAGAAAGCACAACAGATTATAAGATTGTAAAAACACAAATAGGTCTAATTCATATAACAAACATGTAGCGTACTCGTCTGATTGAGTCATGTTTACTAGGCCTACCTGTAGGTTTGGAATAGGCTTATTGAAAATAATGACAGGGCTGATATCAATTAAGGACGTCATTTTCCCACTTACCTTGTGTGTATTTCCTGTCTTTGTTTTGCCAGTATTTAAGAGCTGAGTAGCGTCGCAACCATGATGTCTAGTCGGTGTGGGAGGATGAGGAGGCAGACGCCTAGCAACCAGACATCTGCATCCCCCACCAGTGGCTCACCATCTGCAGGTCCCGGTGTGAACAGGCTGCTAGTCTCTGCTTTTGAAAATACAAATAGCCTACGTGCTGTAGGAAAACGTGGGTAAAAACATTTAAAGTGCACCCAATTAAATTAATATAGAATGGGACCGTAAGGACAAGTCTAATCAAGATGACGTTGGCTACAGCCGGTGGTATTAGCAAATACCACTGGTACTGTTCTTATTTCTTTAGATCTTTCAGCAACGTTTCTGTAGAAGAGATTATGTAACTAAACTAAAAGACTTTACGTACATAACTTTCCCTTTGTCGCCATCTACTGTCTGGAAGACAGCAGAACAAAGAATCGATACGCCATATCGATTCCTCTTCTGCTGTAGGCTTTATACATGGATCTATACTTCTATGGCTTTATATCCCACCCTCAAAGGAAATATAGAAGAGGGGAGAGAGAGATGTTTTTATTGGTCATATTGAACTTGAGGCCCACGCTGTGTGGTTATTACATCGGAGTAAACGACGTGTTAAGATTTTTAGGAGTGAGGGCAAAAACTGAAGTAGATGGACGCAGATTGACGCAGCCGCGGCCAGCAGCGTGCTCCCCTGACCCTCCTACTTTGATTGCGTAAAACATATGCGACGCACGTGTTTGCGGTGCAGAAATGGCAGAAGAAAGGTTACAGTTTCATGAAATGGGATTAGATGACCGCGTCTTGAAGGTAAAACTTTGTAAAAGCGAAAGACAAAGAAATGTATTTAACTGCAAAATGCTAAAGGAAACGAAATGGGAGTAAACTGTCTTTTTAAACGATTCTTTCAAGCCTGTGTCAAGTGGATGTTTACAATATGCTATTTCTTGTGTTAGGTCATATAAAACACTGTGTAGACTAACTAACCTCTTGGTCTTTTGTGATGCAGGCGATCGCAGATTTAGGTTGGTCGCAGCCTACTTTAATCCAGGAAAAAGCTATTCCTCTGGCGCTGGTAGGAAAAGACCTTTTGGCTCGGGCTCGAACTGGTTCTGGTAAAACAGCTGCTTATGCTATACCTGTCATACAACGTCTTCTGAACTCCAAACAGGTATGAAATGGCAAGGTAGCAACATGTAACCTTTTGGTTTAGGAATATTTGGATCATTGGGAATCATGTAATCTGTTTTAGAGTGTCCGGGAGCAGGATGTAAGAGCTCTGATACTTGTGCCAACCAAAGAGCTGGGTCAGCAGGTTCAGACCATGATACGACAGTTAACCGCCTACTGCTCTAGGGATATTAGAGTGGCTGACATCTCTGGCACAACAGATCTGTCAACTCAAAGGTATGTATATTGCTTCATCTATAGTTCATAATAAATCCATGCATTGACCCAAATGTATTTTCTGACCAGGCCTATCCTGATGGAGAAACCTGATGTGGTGGTGAGCACTCCGTCACGTGTACTTGCACACCTGAACGCACAAAACCTTGTCCTGCATTCATCACTTGAGATGGTGGTTGTAGATGAGGCTGACCTGCTTTTTTCATTTGGTTTTGAAGCTGATCTGAAAAATTTACTTTGGTGAGTGGAACGTTGTGTTACATCAAAGAATATAGAGTTATCCTTTCAATTTGTCTATTATAACTCATACCAAAACAAAAGCTTACTGTTATTCTTTCCAAAACAGTCATTTGCCTAAGATCTACCAGTCATTTCTGATGTCGGCCACATTCACTGAAGATGTGCAAGGCTTAAAGGAGCTGCTATTGCACAATCCGGTAGTGCCAGTGTCAAATTGTCGTCATTCTTTTCAGATCAATGAAAATACCATATACAACTAAAATATTGATTTTGGCTGAACTTACAGGTGATTCTGAAACTGCAAGGCTCTCAACTCCCAGACAGCAGTCAACTGCAGCAGTACAGTATCAAATGTGAAGAGGAGGACAAATTTCTGCTAATTTACACACTGTTGAAGCTCTCCCTAGTTCAGGGCAAGACTCTTCTGTTTGTGGGAGAAGTGGACAGATGCTACAGAGTCAAACTGTTTCTTGAACAATTTGGTATTCCTGCATGTGTGTTGAACTCTGAGCTACCTGTGCAGTCCAGGTCTGAACACAAAACAAATATGTGGTAACTCCTGACTTGTGACATCCTAACTTTCATTTTTTTTTCTTTTTCAGGTGCCACATTATCACACAGTTCAACCAGGGTTTTTATGATTACATAATTGCCACTGATGAAGAGAGTTTGGCTGAGCCCAGTAATCCATTGCAAATGACTACAGGTAAAGGAAAGAGGCCATCCACAGAGAAGGGGTCAAAGTGAGTAGAAACCTGATGCTTTCAATGCTTAACTTGGTGTACTTCAGCCACAGAAACCACCTTTCAAAATGTAAAATTTCTTTTACTTCTCTTTTAAAAATTTCTTTGAAGAAATAAAGATAAGGAATATGGAGTGTCCAGAGGTGTTGACTTCCAAAACATTGCCAATGTTATCAACTTTGACTTTCCAACAACAGTAGAGTCTTATATTCATCGAGTAGGAAGGTATGTTTTAAATTTTGTAGTTTGTTTAATTACTGACTTCTTTGTAATTATAATAATTATAATTTGTAATTGGAGCTGTGTTTTTGTTTGTTTAGGACGGCCCGAGCAGACAGTGCTGGAACTGCCCTTTCTTTTATTTCCCACACAGAGATGCCTCTGCTAGCAGAAGTAGAAGAGGTTTTAAGAGGAGGTACACACTTCCTTTAAAAACATGATACATGCACTAATAAAACATATAAAAAATATACTTTTTGTTTGTTTAGACAATGCAGATTGTGTTTTAAAACCGTATGAATTCAAGATGGAGGAAATTGAAAGTTTTCGCTACAGATGCCGAGTGAGAGAAATGTTACTTTGTTCCTCATGTAGTTATGCTAAAGCTACAGTCTAGATATTCACAGCAGTCTGACTACCTCCAAAACTCTTTTCTGGTGTTAGGATGCCATGCGTTCGGTGACAAAGCAAGCAGTAAAGGAGGCTAGACTTAAAGAGATCAAACAAGAACTTTTAAATTCTGAAAAACTAAAGGTAAAGTTCACTTTTTTCAGGATTGCAGAAGTGCAAAAGTGTTTGACAGTTTCTAAGTAAACAATTTGACTTTTGCCTCAGACTTACTTTGAAGATAACCCAAGAGATTTGCAGCTGCTACGACATGACAAGGACCTCCATCCTGCTGTTATCCAACCACACATGAAAAATGTTCCAGACTATCTCGGTAAGAGACACAAGGCACAATTTAAAAAAAAAAAAAAAACAAAAAAAAAAACATTGTGATAAATAAGTTTGATTGTAATCCATTTGACTTGTTCTTTTCCAGTTCCCAAATCCCTAAATGGTATTGTCAATCCATTATCAGGAAGGAGAAAAAAGAGGAATAAACCTAGGACTGGTGGTCTTATTAAAGCAAGTTTTAAGGTGAGGATAAAAAGATCATTACTTCTATGCTTTTAATTATTTTTTCCACGTGTGCGTGTGTATAATATATATATATTTATATTTGTATATATTTATATTGTGTTATATATATTTTTTATTTAGTTATTTATATAAATATAATATATATAAAATATATAATATGTATGTATAATATATATGTATATATGTGTGTATATAAGAAACCTTCATTCAAATTACTATCACTATTACTATGTAGAAAAACATTCGAGGGAAAAATCCACTGAAGACTTTCCGCTATACTGGAAGAAGGAACAAAAAATCAAAGTGAACCAGTTGAAGCTGCAGTTGGATGGATGTGAAGTCGATGTTAAAAGAAAAAATGCTTGTTAACTGTCCAGTTAGTTTTGTTTTGACCATGTTCAATAAAAAAATATACATTGGTATTGTTTATAATTCCATTTTTGTCTGTCCTCAAACTGAAAATTTTTTATAAAAATTCCACCATTTGATTTTGGACATACATATTTGTCATTTGTGTTTATTTTGTACAGATTTATATATATGGTTTTTTTTTTTTCCATTAAAAACCAAATACAGTCTGCTCAGCAGATACCTCCAGATATATTCTCTCCACTAACTTGCACAAATATTTATCTTGGTGCCGCTGAACACAGGCATAGGCTTGATAACTCGTGTTATGTTTTAAAATTATTTCTTCGTTGTCATGTAAAGAATTTTTGAGAATCAGTCAATGGAAAATTCAAATGGGTAGTCCTGTGTTGGTGCAGACTCTAAATTTAAGCCATCAAAAGGGTTTTCGGTTAACCAGTTGTCGACTGAGAACCAGGGGTCATACCAGGATGTAGTGCTGTCACGGTCTGGTGTGGTGGTAGGAGCTGTGGTGGTGGTGGTGGTGGTGGTTGTTGTAGGAGTAGTGCTCAATTTGCCTCTTAGTCTCTGTAAACGTAGTCTGCGTAAGCGCAGCTGTCTGAGGCGTCTTAGTCTCTCTGCTCTCTCAGGGTCAGTATAAGCCTTGGTGGGCACAATTGGGGCTGCTGTTGTGACCACTTTCTTTGTGACAAGTCGAATTGGTCTGTTGCCATTAAGTGCCATGATTTTCTTGATACGGTTCCAGTTAGATTTAGGTAAAGTGAAGCTACATGGACTAGCCCCAGAGTCATAGCCCACCATGCAGAGTCTGGTCTGAGGGGTGTAGCCATCTGCTTTCGCTGTTACCTTGTACTCGCCAGGGTTTAACAGGCGCCAGTAATCACCACCGGCCGCTAAAATAAAAGGTGTTTAAATCAAACTAAATCAAAGTGCTTGTTATGGACAATGGAAAGTGAGAATTGTACCTGTTCTGACATCATGCCTAATGCCCTCCACTGTAATTGTAGCATTGGCCAGAGGGTTGCCTTCTGTATCTTTCACCATTCCTTTTATGCCTCTGTGTACCTGCAACATAATTTAAAATAAAAATAGAAAAATAAAATAAAAGATGGTAAATGATGTATAAATATTTTAATAACTAATTAAAAAAGGCTATAGTGCTTCAAGTGCTGTAGTTTGCTTTGCCATTGAAACCATAAAAAGCATTCTGTCTGACCTGTTCTATAAAAGAGAGCAGACTCTCACGGTTGTTCTCCCACTCTAGAGGCAGTTCACTTTCATGGGGAAACTTGTCACATCCGAGGAAGATGGACAGCTCAAAGCAGTTTGTATGAAGGTAGCTGAAGTCATTCATGCCTGTACATTAAAGGACAGAAAATGTACTCAAGTTCGATGTCTCATCTACATACTTATGTTTGCCATTTTGTATTTCTTGGTTAGTATTTAGGCCTATTCTACTGGAGCCTATATTGTACTGTATGTGGCCACTTACTGCCTACTACTGGCTTCCAGCTGGCCCTGTTGACGATGCCCTGTCCCGCCGTAATGTCATCTCCATGGCATGAGCCTCTGTAGGTCTCTGTCATGGTCAGATGGCTGTGGGCATAAGACATGGCCAACCAGCGAAACATTGCATCATCTGGTGTTTCCCGCAGGGCACCTTGATTCTGACGTTGGATACGAGCCCAAGTTTCCTCGTTCATCTCAGCATTGTTTCTCCATCGCCGATTGTCTGTCAGCTGCAAACAAGAGAAAGTGATCAACAGACAACAATATGCAGGGCACAAGGAAATGTATGCACACAAAACTCACAGAAATAGGTGGTCTTTGCATATCAAATGGATACACGACCATTTTTTCTCCACCTTGTAAATTTGCACCCAAGACAAATGGATTACGCTCCATCCAGGAAATAATGGCTTTTGTCTCAATAGCAACCTAAAAGATGGAAAAAGGGAGTTTGTTATGGTATTTACTTATAGTTACAGTTCATAATAGTGACATTAAGACTTACTGAGCCATTGAGGAAGTTTTCTGGGATAGGTATGTGATTATAGGGAACTATACGAGGGACCCATCCTCTGTCCTCTGCCCCCCAAAGGATGCTGTTAAGATCTGGGAAGTTCTGGAAAATGTCATATCCTTCTTCAGTCCAGTGACCCAGTGCCCAATTGCCCATCTCTGAACCCTAATCAAAATATTACATGTACTTGTTAATGTACACCATCTGACCCTCAAAGTTAAATGTCATTTTTTCCCCCATTATGTACCATTTCAAAAGCAAGTTCATATGCATCTGGGTTCAGTGAAGGCACAAGATGTATTCTCACACCATCCACCAGGCGGCGCACTCTGGGGTTGTCGTCATTATACTCTTTGCACAAATACTGCATCAGCAAAAGAACTAATTCTCTTCCCAGGGCTTCATTGCCATGGAGACCGGCGGTATAACGAAATTCTGGTTCCCCTAACACAGACAGAATCAAGCATTGTTAAAAGCCATCTCCACTGACTGTATGATCTTTAATAACTGGACGTTACATAATGTTACCTGTCTCATGCTCTCCTGGGTTATCTGAAATTTCCATGGCATATATCTTAAGTCCCTGCGAGCTTTTACCAATATTGTAGATTCTGGTGATATTTGGACACTCTTCATTTATTACTTTCATCATCTGGAAGACAAAGCAGTGGTAAATTGAAGCAATGAAAATTAATGTAACAAGTGGTAAATGACAACAGCTTTAAACATTTACCTGTCTCATGTCTTTGTAGTTGTGGTGTCTGAAGTCCAGGTCATCTGATACATTGACTTCATTCTCACTTGGGTAGCTGCCTAAATCAATAGAGCATATAGCATCTTCTGTTCCTTGCCTCACTGATTATTAATAGTAATAAAATAATGCGTTGTACTGACTTGGTAGCTGACAGGCCAGTATCTCTGCTCGAAGACACAGACTGCCATTCCAACTTTGAGGAAGGATACGGATGTAACGAGCCACAACAGGTGTAGCAAACTGACTCATCACGGGCGTGTCCTTATCCACATTTCCATAAAACAACTACAGAGAAGGACCACTGACATAAATGCACAAGAGCAGGTCACCATTAACTTCAAAACATTGTTTCTTACCCATTCAGCATAGCCATCATGGAGCACAGTCCAGTCACGGCTGTCGTTACTGAAAGCCACAAAGTAAGAAGATACAAAATCCTCACTGGAAATGGAATAAACAAATAAAGACAATGTCACTAATATGTCAATAATATTAAAATGCACTTAATGCAGAATGTTAGTAAATAATTATTATCTGACGTATCCTACTTACTGTAACTCTGAATTCCGGCCCTGTGTGATCACACCTGTAAATTCCACTTCTTTGCGTGCATCAACCTCAAACCAATGGCTTTTCTCTTCAGCTTCAGCGCACCACGCACCTCCATACATATCATCTTCACTTTCAGATCCCTGCAGAAAGCTACCTGTTGATGTGTTGTTGTTAATGTTAACAGTGAAAGGAGACTTGGATGCCATACCTGTATGTTGAGGCGGCCTCTCTGTGCTGCAAAGCCATGATGTGACTGTGATGAAGCCAGTAACTGGTCATCATCCACACGGTGAGACTCCAGACCCAAAGGAGGACACTCTGGCAGACAAAAACAAACAACAAAACAAAACAAAAAAACACAGGATCTCAACTCTAATTACTTATCAACATTTATCTCCAGCTAGGGCAACATGGTGCTGTTCATAAGGTCTGTTGTAAAATTTGACTTTGTTTGATTGGAAACTGATGGTGTAAAATGTGTAAAATGCTGCCAGTGTTGTTTAAACACAATTTTGAATTATCCTGACAATGCGTTTTCATTTGTTTATGAAATGCATTTGTTTATGAATCACTTTTTGGCTCCACTGGGATTGCAGCCTGCCTGAGTCTCTCCTCCTCTTCTTTCTCCCACTCCTTCCGCTGTCGCTCAGCTGAAAAGACATATGTGGAGAATCAGTAAGTTTAAAAGAACCTGGAGCTGTAGTATATACTCTTAGAGATATTGGCCCATTTCAAAAAGCCAATTTAGTCCAGCCCCAGAAGTTATTAAAGAGCTAAAAAAATACTATGCTTTGTGAGTTGGTCTATGTATGCATCTACAATGATATATAATAACTTAGACAAAATGTATTGAGAAGAAAAATGATTTGCTCTTGGTAAAATATGATTAAGACCTGTACACTGTAAATGTAAATATTATATTATAGTAGGCTACCTTTTTCAGCCTTTTCCTTTCGTGCTCTCTCTTCCTCCTCTTCTTGCTTTTTGGCTGCCACTGTAAAAGGGATAGTTATTCGTCATGAGATAACACTGATCCTTTGCGCAAAAACATACTGATAAAACTTACAGTCAGCATAGTCATATTCTTCATACCATGGGCCTACAAATGGAACACCAGTTGTTTCTTCTAAAAAAAAAACATGGGTTAGTAAACGTCTTCAACAAATTTTGTAGATTTCTGAGTTACATAACAGTACCTGGTATGTACATGATGACCTCTGTAGTGGTGGTCCGCTTCTTATCACCTAGCACTATTTATGACATTGATTTGTTTTATACTCACAATCAAACAATTTAAACTACAGTTGCTGAGATCATTTTTACAGTCAGTCTTGTGTCCTTGTATGGTATGGGATATATAGGAGGTCAGGTTTTCAAATCAACAAAAGGAAAATTCTAGAACAATATGCAAAACAGACTCTTCCCATTTCTTCTGTTTAAAATATATGTGGGTTCTGTTATATTATTATTACTATTATGACCATTTTATGTGTAAATATTTAAATTACAAATATATACAAGTTTACCTAGATCTGGCTCTTCAGGTTCTTCCCATATTGGTGCCTTTGTGGTGACAGCATCAATAACTGTAAAACATTAGCTGTGTTTCAGTTGCAGTTGGTCATTTAATTACCTTCAACATGATGCAGTTTTTGAATGGTGGACATACACGAGTGGTGGTTGTAGTAAGTGGTGAGCTGCTGCTGCCTCTCTGTTGTCAGTCGTATCTCTGGGGGCACAGCAGTGGTGCGCAATTTCTTTGGGGTCTTGGGTTTTTTTGTGGGTTTTGGTGCTTTGGGTTTCTTGGTTGGTTTGGGAGCTTTTGGCTTTTTGGTGGGCTTTGGACCTTTCTGCTTCTTGGCCTTGGCCTCTTTCTCTGCTGCCTTTTGTGCCCTTGCTGGAGGAAAATGGAGTGTCATTTTGTTCAGATTCTTGTAAAGTTGAAGTGGACTGACAAACAGACAGTAGGGACTTTCTGACTCTGAATCACATCATTTGCTGCTTTGGGTCATGACCAAAGGAAGCAGTAGAAGAACTTAAGCAAAACAAAAACATTCATTGTCCAAACTTTCCATGTTTTTTTTTATTTTTTATGTGTTTTCAGGGTTTGCTGCCGCAATAGTAAAGTAGCATTTCAGCACAGCTTCACTTCTATTTATTAGATAAGTCTTACCAACTTTTACTTGTTATGTGGGTGTTTGTGTTTTTACAATAACACTTTCTAAAAAAATCTTAAGAGAGTATTTGATTGATACACTTTACATTTTTATGGATCCATAATACAATTTTGATTGACAAAACATTAAGACTTTGGTCAGCAAAGAAATGTTTTTTCCAGAGCATTGTATCAAGTGAATCAAAATTAAGCTTTTAAAAAAACAAATTGGTTGTTGTAACTATTTGCACTATATGCAAACCTGTCAAACAAACTGTCCTACACTGTAAGAAAATAAAATACATTACAGAGATGTTCATTCAACTGTATTCTCGTGGCCCACGATGTGCACAGGCTACTGTATAAAGTAATTTATTGCTCAACATTTGAACATTAAGTTAACAGCCAGTAATAAAGTAGGTCTAGTAGGCTTGCTTGTGCAGCAAAAATTCATGAGATATAAACAAGTGTTTAAATTGTGTGGCCCTCTGGAGGCTGAGATAATCATGGGGTTTTTGAGGAACTTAAATTGTGGACTGCTGTCTTTGTGGTTTTGCTTTATGCAGTGGAAAGTCTAGAGTAAAGACATCAGTACTATTAACCACTGCCAAAAACATGGCGAGAATCCACTGCCCCACATTTAAAGGAAATGTTTTAGTTATTGCTCATGTTTGGTCTCAAAAGTGCATTTTTGATGAGATTAGTAGTTTGCAGATGTGGACAGAGACATAATGTGACAATAATCACCAGCTCTCTTTTTAATAATTTTGATCAATACTCATTTCAAGAATAATTTGTGAGTAATCCGCCTTGGAGTGGGATAAAGCTGACACTTACCTGCCTCTATTTCCTCAGGAGTTTTCTTCTTCTTTGGTTTAGTGCTCTCTGGCTTGTCCACTTGAGTTGGTTCATCAGACATGTGCTCTTCGGTCTGAGTCTCACTCACCTGAACCTGACCTCTGATGTTGGTAGGTTTTGTTTCTTCTTCAGAGCTAACCAGGGCACAGGTCAGGGCTAAGGCCAGCACCAGAAGCACCACTACATGCACCCTCATTTCCTCAGTTATTGCAGAGCGAAATGAAGAGACTGGAAATGGAACCTTAAAGTAGCACCAGCTGTCTACTGTTACAACATCTGACCTGCAGATGAATATTCTGGTCTCCAGGCTGTAGAGGAAGTCTTCAAAGTCCTCAGAGAAGAAAAAATGAATGCTACAAAGCTCCTTCCTCACTGGTGTATGGTCAGGGGAACATAAGTGTCAGTTTTGGCACCATTGAAGAAAAGGAAATGCATCAGTCCAGAGCACAACTCCCAGCCCCGTCCCAGTGTGGACTCACATCTCCCCCTCATGGCCCTGCACCCCCTTCCCCTCTCCCTGGTTTGCACAGAGGGGTGGAGCTTCTGACACACACACATTCCATGGAAACAAGATGAGGTGGGGGAGTACACTCACCCCAATAGGCTGCTACCATAGACGATCTGCTCAAAAGGAAATTGTGATTGGAGCTAAGGTACACTTAGCTAAATGTATTCAATATTTATTCATTATTATGATTTCATTTTTTCCAAAATACTATTAATAAATGATCTCCATCCATCATCTCAATCAGGTTAAAGTACATTTGCTTTTCACTGAAATATTTTTTTTATTTAATGTTTTTGTTACTAAACTACACAAAACAGCCCTCTTCTTAACAGTTTTGAGTCTATGTAGGGTAGCATCATTGAGGTCTTTTACAGGTCATCATTTAGCTGCAAAACATTAAACTTATCTTACTCCATAAAAACAAACAGGTGACGCCATCAAGACAAATGCAGACTTGTCTACAAGTGTTAAATTTTCCAAAATGTTCAGGCTTCTGATCATATCTGACCTTGTTTGTGATTACCTTGATAATTCTACCACTGTACTTCAAAATCAGTTGTACTGTAAAAGAACATGATATCTTTAGACTTGGGGCCATCATGTGTTTTATGAGCACTCATTGTTAGGAGTGAAGCTGAGCCCGATCATTGTTTCTTTGGTCTTGAAGTTCACTTGTCCTCCTGTCTGACCTACTCAGTTCTTTTTCTTCACATCTGTTTCCAATAACATGTGAGTGTGTGTGTGTCTGTGTGTGTGTTTTTGGAGGTGGTTAAAGATGTGTTTCAGATGTGATTTTAAAAACACTCTGGAAACCTCATCCTCTTCAATCCTTAGGTATGCAATTCTTTGTTTAAAACATGTCAGTGTCTTTTAGAGCTTTTGTCTCTATCTGTAGATTCCCGCCTCATATTTTAATTGTCTGATATTTACAGGTATTCATGTTTTTCTATATATGACTCCATTTGCTTACCTATGGTAAATATTTATAATCATTTATGACATTTAACAAAATAAATGTGTTGTCCTTTATTTTTAATAGTCTAATCTCTATTGTGGATTCTAGTTTGGGAAAATGATGGTATCTAAGTTAGGGCAGATTTTTAGTAAAATATAATTATAATATTTTAATTATGATTTTATTATAATTAGACCTATACTATGTTTTAGTGAACTGAGTAGTCTATCCTGTCATACTTTAAGTGGACATGACTAGCATATTACAAGTTAAGGATTTTTTTATTATTTTTTTTATTTTTTTTGCATTTGGAATGTAGAAAAGTAGGCTATTTGTTTTATTAATCTTATTTGAGCTTCATGACGGTAGTAATTTATGCGTCTTTGACCTGTTTTGCTACAAATATCTGAGTCTTTAAACATAATTTTATCATATTATATGATAACATTTTACAATGTGTCTGCTGCTTTATTTAGTCATGATGTTCATTTGGTGTCCAATGTGTTGTTCAATAATACATGTAGCCTTTTTCAAGTGGTTATATACATTTATTAAAAATATTTTCCAAGGGTATTATCAAAATAATATATATATTCTCATTCTAAAAAAATATTAAAATATTTAGTGGTCCATTTAACACACGCACGCACACGCACGCACACACACACACACACACACACACACACACGCACACACACACACACACACACACACACACACACACACACGCACACACACACACACATTCATCAGTGTTGCTAGCAGTAAGCTTTTTCAGTTTTCCAGTCATGCACACAGATATTGTCCATTATCTGTAATAGGAGTAGAGCACCAGAGGTGAGGGTGTAAACACATGGACTGGGGTGCGTTGCTGACAGTACGGGGCGTTATACAGTACGTCATAGGGCACAGGGCTGTAGAATGATGATGGATGAGAGGTGAAAGACATAGGCATGAAGGAACAGTGATCGTCCTCTCCTTCCTTGCCATGGTGCCTTTCCTTCTTCCACTTTGTACGCCTATTTTGGAACCAAATCTTCACTTGTGTCTCAGATAGGTGCAGGTGAGTGGAGATGTTGTGTCTCTCCAGCACTGACAAATAGTGGCACCTTTGAAAACTGTGCTCCAGGATCTGAAGCTGCTCCAAGGTGAATGCAGTGCGGATGCGGCGACTTTTGGTCTTCATTTTTGTGTTTTTTGTATCTTGATCCTCCTCCTCGTCTGGGCTGCTGTTGTCATCTGAAGAAGCATGGACCAGACAGGGCTTGAGCTCTTGGTTCTCTTTTGGAGTTTGAAGTTATAAAGAAACACGTATGTGTCATTAGAACTGGATAAAGATATGGTGAAATGGTATGGTTCGAAATAAACAACATCATCAAGAACAACAGCTACTTATTAGGCTATTAAAACATAGTCATACCTGCAGTTTCCAAAGCAGCATCTTGATCTGGCCTCCTGCGCGTAAATTTGCTCGGGTCGAGGATGTTTTCCACAGAGAAAGACGTCCTGTGCGCACGTGTTTCTTTCACGGACTGCATCTTTGAGTTCACGCTGGCTTCAGCAGATGACACTGTGCCAGAGCAACTCTTAGCTTTATATATCCTGGTCCCAAACACCACTGCCTATTAGCCCTATTCAAATTGGTGTTTAAAATAAAAAGAGAATCATCAGTCACTGCCATTTCGGCGGGGGCACGTAGGCACGCTCCTGCCCCGTGGAACCCCCGTGTGACACTTGAAAATGTAAATTTAACCTCTCAGCTGGAGGGACACGAAGGGGGTTATTTATTGCCGTGCATCTGGTTAAAATGTGCCTCCTTTCTTCTTCTTCGTGTTCGTTATTGTGTCCAAGTATGTAATTATTTGCAAATGTGAGATTTTACGCTGGTAAGACACGTGAACGCACATTGTTACGTTAATTGATGGACTCATCAAAGGGAAAGCATCTTTTCCTCTCTTGTGTCCCGTTTTCTAAAGCGCCATTTGTCCTGCGGAGGGTGACATCTCCACAAAACGGGCGAGTTGAATAAAAAAAAAACTCTACAACTTTATGGGAGCAATAGAAACGACTGCCATGTGATCAACTTTTTACTCGGCACTTTCACCAGTAAACAAACACAATTGAGAGGCTCCAAAGAATGGACCTATTGATAGAAAATATAATGAAACCTACCGTTAAGATAAACCATTCAGCCTTTTCAGCAGGTCCCAAATGATAATTAAAAAATATATACTTTTATTTTTCAACCCTGTTCAAAAATGTAGTGGAGGAGAAGGTGCATATATCTGCTCTCAAATATAGTAAAGTAAAAGTAAAACATATCCATAGGTACCAAAAATGTGTATGTAAGTACAACTCTTTACTTGTACTCCACTGCCATTGTTAGAGATGATAGCTAAATATTCTGTCATTATTTTTCAGCTAAAGAGTCACTATATATATGCTTAGATCTCTTGATTTGGTTTATGGGTAATATATCTTATAAATACTGGGTATTTTGCTTTTTAAATAGTAAAGTGATGATTTAAGGCTATCCACACAGTGACAACAAATAAACATCTTAAAATTATAATTCTAGTGGTTGTAGGCTATTTCCTGTTTGGAAACCATTATTACATCAAAGTCAATGTGAACCTCTTAGACTTCTGTCATCCTACATTTGTTTGGAGCGGGACTAGTGAACAGCTCTGTTAATTCACAAAGCCCAATGCTTAAGATGTCATTATAGTTAATGCTGAGTGAGGCTGTTGGTCACGGTGTAAAGTGATTGTAAATGATCCACTCTGGAGGTGCAGGGACAGCTGCCACTGCAGGCTCCGGCAGAACCCACTACAGAGCTGTAGGTTTGAGCTGAAAGAGGCCAGACACTGGGACAATTAGCAGATGTTTGACCCTGTCTGACCCCAGCCTTTGTAGAACATCATAGACTGAAGTCAAGAGATTCAGAGGGTACTAATGAACAGATGTAAGAGGCAGAAATAAATAAAAATAATAGCATTCTTCGTGTATTTAGTGACATTTTTCCACTGTCAACATGATGAATCAATGACAAGGATGATGTTTTATATCTTCTTGATAATGAAGGCTACTACATAATTGACAACCACAACAAAATACTGCAAGTGAACATAAACAACAACATTTGTCAGCAGTACCATTGCTTTTTACCCGAACATTGAGCAATAAAAGTAAGCTTCACAAGTAGGCCCATTGGCCATTAATGAGAGGCAGCAGAGGTAGATTTAAGAAGATAGAAAGTAGATTTAAGTTCAGTTCTCTAGTTACTTTTGCTCTAGTTACAGTTCTCTAGTTACATTGCGCATTTAGTCCTTTAAAGCCTATGATACTGACCCGAGAACAGTGGGTGGTGGTAAACAGATGTAGTGTCACCGTCACTCACGAAAAAGAATGATTTGTCCTCTCCGGGGTGTCACTGTGCCCATTGCAAAGGGACCTTCAGTTTTGAATATATTAATAGATATCATCAGATTTTTAGAGGTAACAGTTGTATATTTCTTTTATAATTTTATTGTTATGCTTATATTTCACACTGATCCAATGTGTAAAAAAAAGTAGTTTTTGATACCCTATATATTCTAACACTGAATAGGTTATTTTAAGGTAAGACAACTCTTAAAATCTTTTACTTGTATATGAGTAACATTTGACCTGGGGGATACAAAACATACTAAAAGGTAATCAATCAAAAACTTTGGCCACCACTGATTACGAGTGAAAATTTACTTTGTGCTTGTTACTGACAATTTCATTGTGTTGTTTGAACATAATACCTGGCTTCTCACAATAAATTGTTGTGCTCAATGTTTATCATATTGCAGCACTAAATGAACTTTTTTCTGAGTAAATTCAGCCTTTTTTTTATATCATTATTTAAAATGATCTTTCTTTGTGCCATGAATGTATTGCTATTCATTATTTAAGAAATTAAGATTAAAAAAAGGGTTTACTGATTGCCTTTATTACAGCAGTAGCACAAAATGGTCATCATTATTACTGTTAATCACAATATTTCCCTCCCCAAAAAGGTATATTGCATGTGTTTGTTATTGTTACAGGCTAACCTCAGGCAAACACCAGCTGATCACTGTCGTAACCTTTGGTCTCACAGATGTAGTGCCTACAGTACAAGACAAACAGAGGAGAAAACACAAGCATTTTACTCTCGACAATGACTTAAAAGCATTTATGGCAGCACTCAGGGGCTCTCTTAGCATTTTCTTGCTCTTTTGTGAGATGCGTAGTGGCACACTTGTCTTTGTATCTGACAAATGTTTACTGGTGTTTGAACGACCCCACAACCGTTTAAATAATGTATGACTTAGAAAACCCTACATGGGGTGGTCTCATGTTACTACAAAAGATTTTACAGCCTTCCTCAGTAAACTGTAAAACCAAAATACAAATAAGGTCATTTGCACCTGAAAGTATGCCCTATAATATCCATTTGGGCTTAGGTTGTCCATGTTAGAATTTCTTTACATCTGTCAAGCTAGATGCTTTAATTCCTCTTTAGTATTAGTACTTAAAAGACATGTTTTTGATTTTTTTTAACCCAACATGTATCACTTGGAGTCTGAATGTTTAGTTTTCTTCTTTCCACTCCTTTTTTTTTGGTGATTTCATTAATGTTATGTGTTCCATTGTAAAAGAATGTACATTCTTACTTGCCCAAAATAAATACATAAATCAATAATTTCAAGTACTGTGAGTTGTGGGAGGAGATGTGGGATAGGTGAAAACATTTTCTGTTCAATATTCTGCTCAAATATTCCTATAGCCTATTGGGAGTATCGAAGCATGGTGGCACAGTGGTTAGATCTTCAGCCTAGGGGTGGGCGATATATCGATATTTTAAATATATCGAGATAGTTTTTAAACTCGATATGAATTCTGACATATCGTATATATCGATATAATGCTTATATTAAATTCTGATTTCGCCGCTTCACTTGTTTACCTTCTCTCTCTTGACTCCGCGCCCCCGCCTCCCTGATTTTGTTCGCTCGTGTCTCCTTCACTCGTCACTATCGCCGTGAACACCGAAAGTTGGTGCCAGTGAAAAAGCTTCAAGCACCACGAACCTTTTCCACCATTTACAGACAAAACCATCAGCAGCACATCCTCATATTCCACCGAGTCGCGTCCTTTAGCCCGAAAGAAGCTAAACGAGCTGAGCTGCGTGAGAAGTCCGCTGTTTATGCAAATGAGCCATTCGCTTAAATTTCGTTTCTGTAAAATATAAACACACGTGAGCAAAACTGCATTAAACACATTATTATCGCAAAGCTGATGTGGCTCTAGAGTCGTTATGTTTTATATATTGTAAAGTTTAGCAATGTAAAGTTTATTTATGCAGAATATTTTAATTAATAATCTGCTGCAGTGTCACTTGTACAATATTGTTTGGAAACGTTGGGTTTGATCTGCAGTGGGTTGTGGGATTAAACCTCAGAGCTCCTCACTGCTGGATAATAACATCGATCTATTGAAATAAGGAACATCCTGAGCTTCTTCTGCTAAATGAGCTCATGGTTCTGGTTCTGGTTTGGATAACAGAGTTAATGCAAAGATAAACTTGTGTTGAGTTGTTTTATTTATGAATGAAAAGAAGGAAATATGTATTATTTCTTTTATTTTACAGTTAAATTATTATTTATGTACTTAGGTTTTTTTGAAATCTTAAATGTTCCTATATGAACTGCTGACCTCTGACACTTCAATTAAAAAAAAAAAAAAGACCTTGTGGAATTTGGCAGATTTGTTTTTGCAGTTTTCAGTTTTAGGGGGTTATTTTTTCTTGAACATAGATCGAGATATATATCGTATATCGAGATATAGCAAAATATATTGAGATATATTTTTTGATCCATATCGCCCCGCCCTACTTCAGCCTCACAACAAGTAGATTTCAAATCCTCAACCCTTGAGAGGTCTTTCTGTGTGCAGTTTGCATATCTTCCCCATGTTTGTCTTCCCTTCGATTACCCTAGTTTTCTCTTCCACTAAAACCTGGACAGTTGGATAATTTCTGTAGCCCGGAACAGAAAAACAATATTTAAAATTTTCAAGTAAATACATTTATAAATAAGACCTATTATTTCCAAATGCATATATCAGTGTATTGTGTTAGGTATGTCTCCTAGTTTTCTAAGATCTCAACATGGTTTTCTTAAACAACAGGTTGCTGCAACCAGATGATCGGTACAAATTAAACATTTTAAAGTTAAAATTAGTTGTTGTTGGATAAACATGAGACAACTAGATTTGTGAACATTTATACTTGGCTAAACATTGTGAACCTGAAATGTAAGGGGATTTGTGTTTAGGCCAATAAGTTTTGCTTGTTAGTTTCTGCTCAAATAAAAAAATACACTTGAAACAGAAATAAAGTCCAGATATTCCCATGCAGAGACTCCATGTTTACGCCTATACAATGAGTTTAATACACAAACTATAGTGGGAGGTTACCATGGTTTAGACTAGCACCTCTTTATTGGTGCACAGGCCAGCTAGGCCTCTTGGCACGTTGCACAGTCCAATCAGACTCCATCCGGAGTGTTTTCTGGCTAACAGGTCACGGCACCATCCCTATCAGGAGTTCTTGTCCTATTTAGTTAGTTTGCTGTTAGATAGATTGGAATATCATGCATTTACACATATATTGCACATATATCCATGAGTCTCACAGCTGTAATCATAGCCCTTATCTTCAAATGACCTCGGTACAATAATAAACTAAAGAAGTGAATACCCAAAATCTATTGTGTCTATCTCTTTTTCTTTTGGCAGGTTCCTAGAGGGGGCACCAGTGAGCCCCAGGCACAAACCGGAAGTCGTTTTCTCTCGCGATGTTTCTTTTGTTTTCATTGATTTGAAACCAAACATGGCGACCATTGAGCCAGAGGCGGGCGTTGGATCTGGAGCAAGTACCGAGGTTGCAGATGGGTATGTCTTACGCATATGCCAGTGTTTAACATCTCCCCTGTCCTAATGGAATGTAATATGTTATAAGCTTTCTCTGTGAATACACGTGGTATTATTATGGACGGTACAAGCGGCTAATAGTGCTTCCTCTGTAACTGGTGATGCTAGCCAATTTTCTCTTATTTGAAATTACATTCTCGGTGGAAGATTGGTGCATGTTATGCAATTTTTAACCATTCGAGAATGTAGGCTTTATTCATTTTCTGTTTCAGTGATGCTGCATTCAGAGAACTGCCTGCCAGTATGGACACTGAATCCTCCAATGGCAAAGAAGGAATGGTAACAATTCATACCTAAAATCAATACCCATGTCTATAGCACAGTATTTCTTGTGCGACACATTCGAGATTTCTAATTTGATTGGATTTTTTGGTGATGAAATCCAGGACACAGCCGGTGAAGGCTCTGAGGCGGCAGATACAGTTACCGGGTCTGGGGATGAGGAGAGTGGCAGACAGCTGGGCGAAGTGGAGCTCCAGTGTGCCCTGTGCATGAAGTGGTTCACTGCAGATACGTTTGGCATCGACACCGCGTATGTTGAGTAAAAGACAACCTTAAAAACAATAAAACTTACAATACAAAACAATAAAACACAGCCAGTGGATATGCCTATGCTATGTTTGCTCTCTTTTCAGGACTTGTCTTCCCTTTATGACTAATTATGTCTTCCATTGCAATGCATGTCACCATAGTGGCAACACATACTTCTTAAGAAAACAAGCAAGTATGTGCATTAAAATATAATTATATAATTGTCAATTAAATAACTGTTCTAACAGCATTTTTTCCATTCAACCTGTCCCAGATTTAAAGGAAATGTGCCTCACAGCACTGGCTAACCTTACCTGGCGTTCCAGGACACAGGATGAACACCCAAAGACGATGTTCTCCAAGGACAAGGTTAACCTAAATCTCTATTTAACATACAATATTAATTAAGTGTGCATTAATACCCTTGATAGATTAAAATGTCGAAATTATTTTGGAAATAACTGCACGAATTGTACTTGTGTTTATTTGGTAGGGATAGAAAGGTTGAACAGCCAATGTTCATATTATTGGGTTTTTCCAAAGAGCCCAGTAATATGTCTTTGTTAATTATTATTTTGTGGCCATTAACTTTTAAAATTTATTTTATTACTTTTTTAGGATATCATACCGTTCATTGACAAGTACTGGGAATGTATGACAACTCGCCAGAGGCCGGGAAAATTAACATGGCCTAACAACATTGTGAAGACAATGGTAATATTATTTATTAATTTCTGTGAGTATTGTTCTCACAAATACCACAGACATACTTCAGTGTCTTGAAAGAATATTTTTGTGTTTTCTGTTGTATAAATCAGTACATGATGTTATCAACAAGTTAAGCAAAGTCATCTTGACTTCCTTGGTTTCTGAAGCCGACATTTTGCTACCAGCTAAGTAGGTTCATCAGTGCTTATGTTGGTGACTGCCTTCCACTAGATGTAGCAGACCGGGGTATCCTTCATTGGGCTCTGTCCCAGGTGTGACACAACACAGGCCCTGATGAAGCTACCTAACTGGTAGCAAAATATTTGCTTCAAAAGCTTATTAAGTCCAGTTGGCTTTAGTTTGGCTCATTGATGTTATTTTATCCCTGGATGTCTAAAAATTTGCATCAGTTAGTAGATGATGTGTGATGCATCTTTTTCATTTAGAGCAAAGAGCGAGATGTTTTCCTTGTAAAAGAACACCCTGACCCTGGCAGCAAAGACACAGAAGAAGAGTACCCCAAATTTGGCCTTTTGGACCAGGTATTGTTATATAATATTTCACGATATGCTTCGATACATATCACTTGTAGATGATAAATTATTCTATTCTTTTAGGATCTCGGTAACATTGGTCCTTCATATGATACGCAGAAACAGACCACAGCACCTCCCACTACTGCTGGACTAAATGGTAAATGTTCTTGAAAATGACTAGAGGTAGGATATGTAGGATTTTATTCAATATTTCATAAACATTACTTCTCAGATATGAAGTGAGCCTGTTCAGGTGATCAATTGATCAATTGATTTTACTGATAACAATGTTTGTACCTATACTGAGAGGTCCTCAATATGCAGGTTAATACACCCATAAGCCAGGTTCAGTTGTTATTGTATTTCTTTTTTAAACAAGTTAAAGTACAGGCTACATACCCTACCTTTAAATAAAGTACAGTTGAAAGCAAAGGATAAACAAAATCGTACTGCTCATGTTCCGAGTGTTGAACATGGTGACAATCGTCATTTTGTGCATTGTGTTCCAGGTGGATCTTCTTTCTCAGGTGAATATATAGTACCCTGAGCTGCTTAATGTCTGTGTGTTGTAATCCTTTGGATAGAAGTTGACCCTGATGTTTGATCAAGATCTGTAATTAACATTGAAAACAAAGATTTTAATCAATTAATATGGTCAATGGGCATCTTTTGGGCAACTTCATCTGTGTGTATTCATAATTTCCCTGTCTTCTCTTTGCCTCTGTTACCCTTCCCTAAAAAGTTCCTAGTCTTTCCCTGTCTTTGGCTTGCTGCTAATGGGCTTTCTAATTCCTTCAGCTGTGCTCCACTAAAATTCTATGGCAAATGTTCTGTGAGAACAGGGTGCCAATTGCAAAGTTAAAGATAAAATTAATTTAAATCTACACACAAATTGTGCAACAAAGCAAATGTGTTACCACAACCCTAGTTCTGGAATATAGAGCAATAAATAGAATAATTATTTATAGGATTGCTTGCATATGTGTGTAATTTTGGGTTTCTACTTTAAATTCGATCATTATTGGGAGTAAAGCTGATTAACTGGGCTGCTGCAGCTTATGTCCTTGTCTGTCTATATTGTAGTTTTCTAGAAAGTTTCTCTAATGGCTATTTGTTTTTTTGTTTTGTTTTTGCAGGTGCATTGGCTGCAGGTCCTGGAAAAGGACGAGGAGCCAAACGCAAACAGCAGCAGCAAGAAGGGACTGCTGCAGGAGCAACTAAGCGGACCAGAAGGTAGGACTACACACGCACACACACACACGCGCACTTACATAGAGTCCATAAAGTAAATATAAAGTAAAGTAATAATAATATATTTTTTCTGTTTTGTGTTTGCATTGCACAGTGACCCTTTGTTTTCAGCCCAGCGGCTCCCACCTCACGGTTATCCTCTTGAACACCCCTTTAATAAGGATGGCTATCGCTACATCCTTGCAGAACCAGACCCCCATGCCCCTGATCCTGAAAAATTGGAGCTCGACTGCTGGGCTGGGAAGCCTATTCCGGGTGATCTCTACAGGGCCTGTCTCTATGAAAGGGTGCTGTTAGCTTTACATGATAGAGGTACTTCACAAGTTGTTTGGATAAAGGATACTGTGCATGTGTGTTATGGTGTATATTCATGGTGCACTTTGTTTCAGCACCGCAGCTTAAGATCTCTGATGACCGGCTAACTGTGACTGGAGAGAAGGGCTACTCGATGGTGCGAGCTTCTCATGGGGTGCGAAAAGGGGCCTGGTTCTTTGAGGTCACTGTTGACGACATGCCTCCAGAGACTGCTGCGAGGCTAGGGTGGTCACAGCCTCTTGGTAGGTGGAGTTTCATACAACTCAATAATGCTAACACATTAGCCTAAACGTTGCAAAAAAAAAGTGTACTGATTATTTCATAATCAATACATGCATTTTATACTGCCCAACCTTTTTATATTTCTCCTGCTTAGGTAACTTACAGGCACCTTTAGGTTATGATAAGTTCAGCTATTCATGGCGTAGCAAGAAGGGCACTCGCTTTCACCAGTCTATAGGAAAGCACTATTCCTCAGGATATGGCCAAGGAGATACTCTGGGTTTCTACATTGAGCTGCCAGATGAAACTGAAACTGCAAAAGCTCTTCCTGACACATACAAGGACAAGGTGAGCCTCAAAACAATGTACAAAATGCACAATAAATGACTGAGCTTTAGAGCTGTTTTTATTTTTACTTCAGGCACTAATCAAGTTCAAGAGTTACTTGTATTTTGAAGAAAAAGACTATGTGGATAAAGCAGAAAAAAACCTCAAGGCAACAAGCCCCAGTAAGGTAAGAAATGACAGCTCTGTGTTATAGTCAAAGGTTAATTCCAAAGTACTAACTTGTATGTCTGGTTCAGATGATATTTTACAAAAATGGGGCAAGTCAAGGAGTGGCGTTTGAAAGCTTATTTGAAGGAATCTACTATCCAGCCATTTCATTGTACAAGAGCTGCACGGTCAGTTGAATAAAAACATTTATAATTAAAAACAAGTTAATTTAAACTTTAAACATGGTGTATATGTTCTTGTCATTTGAGAATTTCATACTTACCTCTTACTTTGTTACTTATTTTACTTAAATTTTATTTTGTAGGTGTCAGTCAATTTTGGGCCTCACTTCAAACACCCTCCCAAAGATCTAAAGTACCAGCCGGTGAGATTTTAATTTCAACATTTTAGCAGTCCTTGATTTACATTTTCTGAGCCTTTGGTTTACTGTTTCCACTGTTTCAGATGAGTGACATGGGCTGGGGGGCTGTGATAGAGCACACTCTAGCTGATATGTTATACCACGTGGAGACAGATGTAGATGGCAGGCGTAGTCCTCCCTGGGAAGGATGATCATTTTCCACAAAATCCCCATCAGGATAATTCCAGCATGACACCCATCAGTTTGTTTTTTTTAAGTTTTCCAGTTCCATGTACAAAACAGAGCTGTGTGCTGTGCTGCGAAAATGTTTGGCAGAATACATCATAATGCCTAGCCACTGATTGAGCATAAATATTGTATTGTAATGTGTAGTCCACTTGCATTTAATAATTTAGCACATTCTCAGTTTTGTGTGTTTTTTTTTTTAATCAGTGTTGGTTTTGTGTGTGTGTGTTTTTTTACTATTAAGTTTTTGTTTGCTCTGAAATCAATAAAATGTATGTCTTGTCCGTGTCCAGCTCAACAGCTCCTAAACTTTAACAGTATGTCTAACAGAACTACTTTAAAATACTGCAAATTTCTAAAGGTAGTATATGTAGGATTACTGTAGACATTTATTTATGTGAATAATTTGTGTTTTGTTTTTCAAGCCAGAAAGCAGAATATGTATCTTGCAAATTCACTTTTCAATAGACCAAAACATTTAACTGTCAGAAATAAAATAAAGGCTAGTAGTTTGTATCAAAATATATTTACAGTGAAGTGTGCAAACTAGACACAATTTACAACATGTACATTATCTTAAATGACCACTGATGACACTGATGGCTGACCTTTTGTTGTCTACAGTTAATGGGTCACAGTTCAGATTCTGGTCCTGAGTCCTTGATTACTTTATTTTCATCTGGTGAGTCTGGACGCTGGTGCTAATTTACAAAAAAAAAAAAGCAAAAGTATGTCTGGAGATTCTAATGAAACCAAAAATGTATCAATATGGTATTTTGACCTTACATGTCTGCGAAATATGCGACGCAATAGGCCACCTTTAGGGCTGTCAGATACGTGGGAAGACACTAGGTCTGGAGAACGAGTGCCCATTGGACCAAAAGTATTCAGCTCCCTAAAACATCCAGTCTCTATCATCTAAGAGAGAAAACGGAATTCAATTAATTATTCTGTCTTAAAAGCAACACACCATAGTGTAATGAATAAGGACCTCATTTTGCCACATTCTGGGAACTCGACCTGTGCAGAACTTAGAGTAAAATTCCCCGTCTGTTTCGTCCAGAACCACTCCTTTTACTGTAGAAAACTCTTCAATGTCCTGTACATCACTGCAGTATACCAGTCTGGGCTGTTAAATGCAGTTTAGCAAATCATTGCTATTATATGTGTCATGAGTAGTCTCCAAGATATATAGAAAATATTTGACTTACATCTGGTTTAAAAGGTGGTTCTACCAAACCAGCCTCCAGCATCCTGAAGTTAATTGTTTTAAAAAAGGGGTGGGCTTTAACTTCACTAGCCCCTGAGCCCTGGCATCCCAGTCGCTTCATTGGGTCTTTGGCCAACAGCTAGATAACAGTGAAATTTAAAATACTAGAGAGAATAAAATTTTACTAAATAGTATTTTAGTCTTGATTTTTACCGAGGAACACAGATCCTTGATTTCCTTACTGAACATTTTAGTATATTCTTCCTTTTCATACTGAATCCTCCTCTCCATCTCAGTAGGTTTGGGGTGCTCTCCTCTCGTCCTCAGGGGGGGCTTGCCAGCAGTCATTTCATAAATCAAACATCCAAGACCCCACCAGTCAGCACTCACCCCGTAATGCTCATATCCAATCACCTCGGGAGCTGCAGATGATGTTTTCATTTTATTATGTTATTAACAGTGTACTTTCTATGAAACACAGAGAGCAAACTCACCCATGTAGCCAATAGTTCCCACACGACCATGTGCTAGTTTCCCACCAGCCAAACGCACAGCAAGGCCCAGGTCAGAGATCCTAATATGACCTAGGTGCAAATCACACAAATGGTTTAAATTTTTACAGAATTTATATTTCCTTATCCCTACCCACTTTCTATTCAACTTATTTTAACTGTTCTAAAAGCTATAATTTGTTATTAGTACATGTTCCTATAAACACATGGTTAGACATGACAGGTGCATCTCAAAATAGAACCACCACACCTTCTTTCCTGAACAATTTATTTCCTTAAAAAGTCTTTGTTGCTATGTCGCAATACCTTCAGTACTTCCTCGAGCAAAAAATAATATTGGTGGTTTTATTAGGCAAACACATCACGTTCCGCTCCACAAAAGTAAATTCATTATTATTGCATCCACCACCAATTAACCAATCTAAACTCCTTTGGTCATTTCCACCTTTGTTAATAAGTTACACTTTCAGTAAGATTATTAATCTGTACTAACCATAGTCATCCAGGAGAATATTTTCTGGTTTGAGATCTCTAGAAATAAAGAAGTATTTATATATCAGTATATCAGCTATTGTGTGATCTGTATAAAACATAAATTGCTAATTAAAAGTTTACTGACCGGTAGATTATTGACATCTGGTGTAGGTGTGTTAACCCACAGCATACCTCTGCAGCATAGAAGCACACCCTCTCTCTTTCTAGGCCTGGTGTACCAATGTTATAAATGTGAAATCTCAGGTCCCCTCCACTCATCATTGTCAGAACCATACACAGGGCATGCTTGGTTTCATAGGCATATGCTAAGTTTACCTTAACAAAGGAACCATATTAGGACAACCATTTGCAAACTTTGCAAAGAATCTCAAGTTCACTGTCTTACCACAAACCGACTGTCCACAGCTTCAAGAATTTCTTTCTCATTTAGGGCCATAGCTTCTCCCCTCCGTTCTTCACATGAGTCTTGTCAAGCTTTTTGCAGGCATACATCATTCCTGAGGCTCGCACTTGACAAGCCCACACCTACAAAAGAAAACATAATAACGTTTTAATTTTCCTTGTTGTAACTAGTCATTAGTGCTGCAAAAGTTCATATGGTATGCATTCAATCAAATGCTTGTAAAATCAATTACAGTGTGTACGCACACTAACCTCTCCAAACCCTCCTTTTCCCAGAAGTCTATATTGTCTGAAACAATGCTTGGTGACCGGCTGCCTTAAAGAAACACAGAGCCATAGGTAAAGTATAATGGGAACATTTTGCCTAAACAACAATTATTTGAGTATATACACATAAGAACAACTCTTGTTCTACTAATGTGAATTTACACTTACAAGTTACTCACCTCTCAAGTGCTTTCCACTGTAAAAAACGGTCAAAAAACATGCTCTTTTGATACTGCACGAATGGTTTCCCAGAAAGATATGAATGTAGATCTCTGATAAAAGCAGACAAGTCTGACATTAGACTCAAGTGTTTAGGCATACAGACATAATTACATTATTATAAATGACTAATGGTGATTTCTAATCTGGCAGAGTGCATATTTGTAATGTGGAGAAACCCAGATGTGACTGGATGACACAACGTTAACACACATGCAAAAGGGCTAGACCTACTTTTTGCATGCATAAAAAACATCTGCACTGAGGTCCAGCTCCAGAGCTTGTATGCAGGCCTGCATGTGACTTTGCACTGTGGACAGACACTGAACAGACTGAGGATATAAATCAGCCATTAATAAGAGACTTAAATAATATAATACCTTTTATATTATTATTCAACATGTAAACAAGTTTTCTTCTTGCCTGGCTCATGAGGAATCTTTGAATGATGCTTAAACCAAAAACTTTTCTTTCAGAATCCGCCTTGGTTTCAAAGCTTTCCTAGAATAGAGACAAAAACATTTAAGCCTTTTAGTTTGCACACATATTGTACATGGTTTTAACGTGATTTCCATATTACTTCTTGACTGCTTTATTGTACTTATTATGTGTGTGATGTGTTATACTTTTGTGGAACAGGTAAAAAATAAATATACTATCTCAATGTATTGTTAAAATGTAGGCTTTCCTTTGAGGTTGTGCCATTTCTCTGGGAGCATACTGAGATTTGTTAAGGTTTGACCCTGGGTGTCCTTACTGACACCTTCTCTTATCACTCTGTGTGATTTGAGCTCACTGTGTTGTTAAATGTGAGGGGCACTGTGAGGGATTACCAGTGCATCTTGAAAGGAGATGTAGTTCTGCAGATCAGGTCGACTCTGACAGAAGAGTTGGAAAAGCCTCTTACCAATTGGCTGCTGAACACATAAACTGTAGTAGTCTCGTTCTGACACAAAAAAACAAGAGGAGACATGACCTTGGATGACCTGTACAATAAAGTCATAGATAAAGACTGAACAAACCAATGGTCTTGGCCAACTCCAGGCACTGACTGATGTGGGGGAACCGCAACATCTCTTTCCACTTCCAGCTCCTGCCTTTGTTGCCTCCACCTGAGCCAAGTTATTTATTTTTAAACAAAAATATCACCTAATAAAAACTGTTAATTTTGTTATTGTGCAATATGCATAAGCTGTCTTGTATCTGGCAGGTTTCAAACAATAGTATGCAGCACTACCGTGAATGGGCTAATAATAGCACACAGAATACGTCACCAGATCCTGTACAACTGCATTACTCTGCAACTTACTTTCAGAGTTAAATGGGTTAGCAGTGACCTTAACACTTGTTGTATTAAAAAAATACAAATATTGTTAGGGTTAGGTCAGAGATTTCACATTTTTCATATTCTAAATCTCACCATAATTGTAAGGAAATAGGAACTTCAAGTTAAATTTGACAAAGCAGTATTGCTGTACACACAACAAAATAATGTAATGCACTGCAGTATGAGTCATGGCACTGAACCATCATGGGTAAAAGCACATAAAATATAACACTGGCAAAGATTTAAAGGTGCATTGTGTAACTTTTCTGTTGGAGGGTCCGTCAAATGCTTTTCCCCATGGAGATGTTATTGCTTTGTCCATAATGTTTCACAGTATGGTATTAAACCTTTCTTTCTTCATGGAGACCAAACTATCCATAGAAACAAGCAGGTGACAGACCCCCAACCAAAAAGTTACACAGTGTACTTTAAGTCTTAATTTTAACAACAGAACTTTAACATTTTTAAAACAAAAATAAATCATTTTTACCTTCCCTGGCTCTAACAAGTACACTGTTTGCGACCATGCTTTCAATCTCCATATGAATTTAGGTTAGGGTTCTTGATGAAAAAAACAGCCTCAGGACATCACAGGTAGGAGAGCTGCTCTGGGCTGACTGATTGAATGGAGTTACAGGTCATTGCACTTTCTTGTATGACACTTCTCCTGAGGACACACCCTCACCTCACAGCAGACAAATGACAAGCATTTCTGTACCGCCTATAAATATATATTTTTAGTTCCTCTTCATCATCCACAATCATTGTTGCAGTTAGACATAAAATAATGTATGTATACAATGCAGCAGTGGAAAGTAACAAAGTACAATACTTAAGTACAAATTTTAGGTATCTGTACTTTACTTAGGTAAATTTTACAGTGGACACTTCTCACTTTTACTTCACTACTTTTAGAATGTGCAGTTGTACTTTCTACTCCACTACATTTTAGATCTGGACGGAAAAGTAAAAATTGTTTTTCTTTATGGTGTGCAGCCGTAAGAGACATTATTTTTAGCACATTCAGTATGAGTTAATGTCCCAACATTACACAAAATTGGCTAGAATTTTTTTTTAAATCAACTGAATCACTTAAGATCAGGCAGATTCTTTACCAAAATCACTACATTTCAAATTTTTTTTTAAATCTTTACAAAATACTTTTTACTCTTAAGTACATTTTTAAAACAGGTACTTTAATACTTTTACTTTACTTTTACTTCTCATGTGGTACTTGATGAGGAGAAAAATTCAGTTTGTCGACTGGACAAATTTTGTCCAGTCGACAAACTGAATTTTTCTCCTCATGGATTCTACCTGGACGAGTGAGGGATTCTTCATACTTTTACTTGAGTAACTTTTTGAAACTCTGTATCTGTACTTTTATTTAAGTAACAAAACTAAATACTTCATCCGAAAAGTATTTTAACTCCCCTGATAATAGCTCTGTTTGACTTCTGTCTTTGGTGAATAAAAAAAATAAAAAATAAATAAATAAAATAAAAATACTATGAAAACTACAGGCAGGCTATTTAGGACTGAGGCTGACATCTTGTGGACAAACATGTCTACACATAATTATAATTTTAGTGGCTAGTACAATGGAAAATAGTCATATAAGTATATATAGTATAAGTATATAAGTAATTATTTTCCATCTTTTAGATCTAAATATTACATATTTGATACCATTATACAAATTACAGCAAGGTAAATAAGTTATTATACAAAACAGGCCTCATATAGCACATTAACTAAAAGCTTCTAAGACAAAGCTGCAGAGTAAGTATATTAATTCTGACATAAGATCAAAGAAATATTAAAGAGTCACCAAATACAAGTAGGTCGTAGCATGTAGCATACATTCAGTTAGATACATTTTTGAGTAGAAAGCTGCAAATCAACATGTAGTTTGCATTAATATTGCATTATCTGTTGCCACGGATAATGCTATTACAGCATTGCTTTGGCTCAATTTCTGAAACTTTTCCTAAATCTGGTATATATTTGACAATTATTTACACACAAAAAATCATACTGTTTGCAAAAGTAAACTTTGTGAACAAAACATAAAACACTAGAGTAAAAAGGACACTTTGTGGTTAAAATAAAACAGGCCTATTTTGTTATCCTGATCTAGAAGGTATTGGTCTAAATTACGATGTACAACTAGTACACTTATATATGACAATTATATATATGACATTGGTGTCAAACTTGGTGACTAGCAATGGAGCAAAGTATTAGAGAATGCCAAATGAATCACTAAATCACACAAACCTCATGAAGTACAATATAAAATCATCAACAACTGCAAGTGACCCCTATAACCCAGAGTAAATATGACACATGTACAAAATTTAGTTTAAAATGTAAAAAGGCAGCAGGAACCTATTTTTACTTGATATGGTCATGCCCAGCCAACGTTTCATTTTGGTCTTCAGTTCTTCTGGAAATTGAAAAATATCTTGGATTATAACTACTAGTGGACCCTAAGGCCTGTATGTTAGAGCTACATAAGGATATACAGGAAACAAGAACACTCGTTATTATGATGTATGCTGCCTGCCTCTCTATATTACATTATCAATTTTGCTTTACAAAAGACTGTATAATGTACAGTATGGGAATGCACCTTGAACTATATTTTGTTAAGGACTGGCTACCTTTAAGAGATTTGGCTCTGAATGGCAGACAATAATCGTATGAACTGTGTGTGTGCGTGCGCGTGTGTGTGTGTGTGCGTGCGTGCGTGTGTGTGTGTGTGTGTGCGTATGTGCATATACTATTACTTTTTTTGTGTGTGTTTTCTATGTTTTGTTATATTTTGTTTTGTTTTCTGAAAATTATTCAAATAAATGGTTTAATTTTTTTTTAAGTTTTATAAACTTAGTCCGGACATTGGCTGGAGAATGTTCCCACACTTTCAGACTTGTAGTGTGAGGGAGTCAGAGGCCTGTAGGACCAGTATCACACTGTTTCTGATGGTTTGACTGTGACTGAGGTAAATGCTGTAAGTATGTGGCAAATATTGGACCATTTAGGAAACAAAAGAGCGTAATTTTCAAATCTGTGTTTTTATCCTCAGTATAGGCTAATAAGATCCTTTAGTAAAGAGGAGGAGCCACGCACCCTTAGTAGTATTTATCATATTTAGACAATTCTAAATTACACAATCTGTTAAAGCATCTTTACTCCTTACTTATTTTGTCATGGGGCCAAGAACAGGGAGAATCTTCAACATATGTGAAGCATGTGATATTGTGACAAACTTCCTACAGAAACTGCAGGAACTGGGTCCAGGGGTTATTTATTTAGTTGAGGTCTTCCTTTTTTAAAAGAAAGAATCAGCGTTTTAACAGGAAGGCATGTGAAGAGCTCTTTGGGTCGTGTGTGATGATGTAGGAGGGCGAGTCACGCTATAACATTGAAAATGTTGTGAGGAAGCGAGATTTCACAGCTTAGTCAGATGAGGCGCTGCGGTGGGCTGCAGCTCAGTGGTCTCATGGCCCTCGAGTGCGTAGTCTATGGTCATGTGTGCGCCAAATAAGAGAGGGGTCCTTCATCTTCCAAATCCGCCAAATCCACTAATGAAGCAGAGCATAAATATCATTTGTGGCCTCAATGTGTGATTCCTTGGAGCTAGATTAGTTTCCAGTTTATGGTTAAGATGACTCCTAATGGAAAATCTCACAAAAGTCTGTCTGTGCTAACTCAAGGCTGATTAACATTTCACTAATAATTATTAGATTCTGTAGATGATATTCATGCAGTTATAGACCTACAACATAATAAGCAGTCAACAAAAGTATACTTATACAGTGTATGTGCATATAGTTACAGTGGAAATGGTCATAACCGGTTGTATTTTTGACAAACTGAGGCATTATTAATAAAATAATTGATTGGTAGAGTTTTCCTTTGATCTTTTGGTTCAACCTCACCAATTTCAAAACTTAAAAAAAAAAAAATTAGTCTGAAAGTATCACCAGGACCAACTCGTAAAGAATATGAATATAATATGCATCAAAATATTTGCTTCTTTTAAGCTTTATCTATTTGAGGACTATTACTACCATAGACTGTATATGATTACTACTAAATTCAACAATGGTTTCGCCTTACGGGTAATTCTGCATTTGAAACACTTATCAGCTTTGATTGGATTGTCCACACCCAACACCAGACAAGAATATCTCTTTGATTTCTTTTCATTTATTTTTAAAAATATTTTTCTTAAGTAAAAACTAAAAACAAAAAAACAAAAAAACACAGACAGAATGGGCAGAGTCTTTTAGACCTGTGTCTATTGCATTTTGACCAAAAATAATCAATATCAACCCACAGAGTTATCCTTCAATCAGGCTGTGAATAAATTGAATAAATTAACAATATTTACTGACATGATATAGCCTATATAGAGCAAGGAGATTAAATATATAATAATTAGCGCTCTATAGGAGCCCTAAAATATTAGGTTTAGGACCACAGTAAATTTATGTACAGGGTTATCATCTGACTATGACTGCGTGACCGTGGTAAATTTAAATGGTTTTAGGATAATGTCCACACGGGGAATACTCACACTGGCCCACTGTGTTTCTGATGAAGGGTATTCGCGCCCCAGGGGCGTGGTATACACCTTATAATCCAGCTATCACGCCCATCCGTAGTCTTTCTCCTACTCTGCATCCAACAGCTCGTCATTTTTAGACAGGGGGAAACAGGAGTTTTGATGGTTACTGAACCATCATGGCTATCAACAAATCAAAAGTAGCTATTGGATTTTTAGTGGCAGGAATACTCACCGTAGTCTTTGGAGCAGTGTTGTTTATTGTGGGCCCAGCCGTGATGCATGACCAAATCATTAAGGTAAGAGTTTATGTATTATCCGATAGCCAATGAATTTGGTAAATATGAGGATCCCCCCATTATCTTTTTTAAGATCCTGATAGGCTAAGCGAATTAGGTCCATGCATACGTTTAATAATTTTCCTAAATGTACAATTGTACCATGGCCCAATAATTTTACAGTCTCAATATTTCAGTCACGTCCAAAAAATCGGGTAACGTGGGCTATGTCACTACATTACCCAGCGTCCTTTGCGCGAAACAGGAGGCGTGGCATGTCTGCCAAAGGATAATAAAACCAGGTCAAACACAAAAAACATGCAACCTATTGCTGAAGTACACACTAATATGCTACCTAGCGGTTCTTTTTGCTGAGACAGGACGTGAGTGAGTCCAAAGCGCGTGTACAGTTCAAGTGCTCTGAGGGCGAACGGGACACCGACAGCCTCTATTGACAACAAGCTACCATAGAGCAGCATGGCAATTAATAAATCCAAAGTAGCTGTGGGATTCATAGTGGCAGGTGCTCTTGCAGTGTTTTTCGGGATTGTCCTGACGTTTGTGGGACCACTTATTATTGATGATCAGATAGAAAAGGTAAGGTAGCCCTCTGGAACACAGGTCAAGTCTAAAATAATTGTTGAAGATCAAATAAGTTACAAGAGATCATTGATGGACTAAAATGTAGCAACTAGTAACACTGGACATTTCATTATGTAATTAAAAATATTGTCATAACAAATGGCTTGATCATATTGTTTTACAACAGAGACTTGATGCTTTAGCTTTAAGTAAAGGGCCTATAGTCATAATAGCCTATCTTTGACACTACAGGACATGGGCTGCTTGCATAATTTTATTTGGTTTGATAAGGACTCTTAAACTTAGATAACTGTAAAACATGATTTAAATTTTTATACAAATGTATTTGGAATATTACTATTTATTGTTTTGTTTTGCAGAACACAGTGATTGACCCAAACAATGAAATGACTTACACTATGTGGAAGGACATTCCAGTGCCTTTCTTCATGTCTGTCTACTTTTTCAATGTCCTAAATCCTAAAGAAATATTAAAAGGAGAAAAACCAATGCTGGAACAGCGTGGACCATATGTGTACAGGTAAAAGTAATTAAGATCATTAATAAAGTAACCTATTAGTCCTTTCTTCTAGTCCACTCCACTATAAAACTACACTCTTTTGAGCTTCCTGGAACATTCTGTGCTTTGTTGATCACTCTCATTCCCCCTTTTTCTGAGGCATAGTGGGGTGCCGTTTAGGTCCTGTTATGTAACTGTCCTATATGTTATATGGAGAACTAAAGAGTGAGCGGGTCTGATAAGGCTCCATCATACTTTGTCTTGCATGGATGTTTTGCATTTGACTTCCAAAAACTCAAGGAGGGTTACTTTTTTCAACTTCTTAGCAACATGTCTTGCATTACCTTGCAAGATTTTAAAGTACCTTACAATGATTGATGACCATTTTAACACACTTTTAAAGTGTTTGATTTCTTTCAGAAAACGTTGTCAAAAGGACAACATCACTTTTCACCCAAACAACACCGTGTCATACAGAGAGTACCGGCAGTACTACTTTGAGCCTGACATGTCTGTTGGCAATGAGTCCGACATTGTCACCATCCCTAATATGCTGGTCCTGGTAAGTATGCTTCTTCTGTTTTTTTTTTTTTTTTTTTTTCTTACATGGCACTAATGTCCTTGTTGTATCTTCAGGGCTCTGCTGTAATGTTACAAGATCTGCCTTACGCTGTGCGTTTAATGATCAGTACAACCTTTAAAACTTTCAAAGAAGGCCCTTTTCTAACAAAGACAGTTGAAGAGCTCATGTGGGGCTATGACAGCAAACTGGTAGATTTTCTTAACAAATACTTGCCAGGCATGTTGCCTTCCTCTGGGAAATTTGGCCTCTTTGCAGAGGTACGTATGTTGATTAAATTCAACATGAACATGAAATAACAAGGGAAAAATTAAATGGCGCATCTGATGTGTTTTTAGTTTAACAACTCCAACACTGGCCTCTTCACAATTTTTACTGGAAAAGATAACATCAAAAATGTCCACAGAGTTGACTCCTGGAATGGCCTGACAGAGGTGAGCATACTCTTCAAATACAGTGTCGGTAAATGTTTTATTGAAGCATTTATAAAGTGTTGTCTGTGCCTCCAGCTAAACTACTGGCACACACCTCAGTGCAACATGATTAATGGCACAGCGGGCCAGATGTGGCCTCCATTCATGACCAAAGAAACCACATTGCCTTTCTATAGCCCTGATGCCTGCAGGTACATGATACAAAATATAAACAATGTGACATCTGAAGAAAAATAAGTACATGTCTTATTGCAGATCAATGGAACTTGTTTACCAGCGCCCGGGTCACATGAAGGGGATCCCTTATTATAGATATGTTGCACCACCGACTCTTTTCGCTAATGGAACAGACTATGAACCCAATGAAGGATTTTGTCCATGCAGACAATCTGGTCTGCTCAACGTCAGCAGCTGTCGCCACAGTACATGTGTTTCCATCTCATTTAATTTAAAATGTCTTTTGATAAAACTACCAGTAACCTTTCTTTGCATTGTGGTGCAGATTCTCCAACGTTCATCTCCCACCCTCACTTCTTTAATGCAGACCCCGTGCTGCTGGACTTTGTGCAGGGGCTGTCTCCCACTGAGGAGGAGCATGGTCTCTTCATTGACATTCACCCGGTGAGTGTATGACACTCACCAGCAAAACCATAACAGTAGAAAAGGTATGGTGGATTATTTATCAGATACAGTAAGTGTTGTCAGTGTCCTTGGGGCTTGCGTGAGTGTCCTAAGGCGGAGGTTAACTGATTGTTTATCATGAACTTTGTATTGTGTGCCACTGTCATTTGAACACGTCAAAGCTTTTGGTTAAAAAAAAAAAAAAAAATGTTTGGAGCAATCACACTGCATTATAATTTCCTCCTGTTATTAATATTTATAACATCTACTAATTGTTCCTGCTATGCAGTGCTAATCCAAGATTTTAGTTGGCTTTGATTATGTGTGTAAACCTTGGGTAAAAGGCCTTATGCAAAAATGTGCACTGAAATATATTTATGAAATGTTACTGATGTAATGTACTCTTAGATCATAATAATAATTAAAGCTCTGCAGAGTACCACTATTTTCAATTGGCAATCTTAATCCTGAGCCTTTGGGATATGGCAATTGGAACATTATCTTATCCTTGTAATCAAAGTGCATTACTTTTTATTACTCCAATAACTTGTTTCAAAACCTAGCAAAAAAATACATAAATTACATTCAAGTTTGAATGAATGATTAAACCAAATAAACCAGTTTTATCTTTTATCTAAATTGGTGAAGTTATCCTATCAGTTTAACAACTTGCAGCACTATAGTGGTTGGATAATACTTATCTTCTCTGCTGAGACTCATTGCTTTTCCTAACTACTGAAAGTTGCATATACATTTGATATGATTCAGCATACACATTTATCAGTGTAGGTTTGCAGTTTAATCCAGTTATGTTTCATGTTGACTTTGTCTCCACAGCAAACAGGAGTACCTCTAAATGTGTCCATTCGCCTCCAGCTGAATCTTTACATGAAGACAGTACCAGGAATTACGTAAGAATCTACATCATCTGTTATGGTTCTCTTATCTCTAAGATGATTATGAAAGGGTTTGTTTTTCCTCAAGTAGATGCAACTTTAAAAATGTATTTCATTGTATGATATTTGCAGAGAAACGGGCAAGATTTCAGAGGTGGTGATGCCACTGCTTTGGTTTGGGGAGGTATGTGACTAGTATGATTAAATGTCTAAGCTCTTAATTCTTGAATTCTTAAAAATACATTATTTTTAGAGCGGTTATATTGATGGCCCCATCCTGAACACATTTCACACAAACCTGGTGATTTTGCCCGCTGTTATGGAGTATGCAGTATGGCTTCATCGCTGTTGGTCTTGCAACTATAGTGATTTCCATCCTGGTGCTGAGGAGACAAAAGGTAACATTGTTCAGTCTCATGTTTTTTAACGCCCCTATTATGCTTAGTGCTGGCTTTTTATTTATTTTTGCACGTCGGTCCAATTATGTTTTAGAACTTAACATGTATAGTGCCAAGCGTATTGCTTTAATACACAGATTATTACAGTTTTAAAACATAAATTGTCACACTGTCTTTAATGTCTATGCTAATCAATACCAGCAGTGAGGCTGTGTACTCACAGCAACATAAACTTGAGCACTGAAATGATCAGAATATATCTAGTGGTGAGGAGGAGCTTTAGAAAAGAACAAAAAACTGAACTTGGCATAATATGGGACATTTTAAAATGGCATGTTGCAAGCATATTTCTTAGCACTCACAAAAAGAGCAATAGAGAACTGTGTGGAACATGTGAATATACAATTCATTTGTTACATCTGATCTCTATATAATGTGAATATTAAAATTATTCATTACTTATGATATTGGGGGGGATTTTCCTACAGCACCTTACATTCCTCTTTGTTTGCACTCCAAAATGCACTTTAAAATGTACTAACATTCAAATGTGTAAGTTCTTCTTGACACTAGATCAGACTCATGTTGGGTCAATGTATGAAGTTTATTGCCCTTTGCATTGAATACAGTTCTAGTATAGTTCTTATCAGGTCAACAATATATGGCGTGTGGGTTGTACAGCTGATTTAAGTGAACTTTAGCAGCTGAGGATATGTCATCAAAAACAATTCATAAGGGACTACACCAGTGAATACATACATTACATTTTAACACTTCTTAAAATGTGAGTACATATAGAGTTGGTTATGATTAGTTCATTAATCATTATTTGGAAATTATATATTTTTTACTATCATTAGTGGTTTAATGTCTCTTTGCAGAAGTTTCAAGACAGTGGATCAGGTTTTAATACGACTACAGTACAGGGAATACCTGGGTGTGTAAAACATCATGGCAGGTTTCTTCAATTCTACTTTCCCAAATTCAAAATTCCCAGTAATCTATCAAAACAATGATTCCGCACGCACGTACATACGTACGTACGTATGTGAAAATCTAAATTATATTATCAGATTGAGAAATTAACATTGCATGGCTTATTTAATTGCATGCCTGTAATGATCGCAAATCACTGCATGCATCGTAATATAACCCTCTCCCAGTCCTCATTTTACTGTATCAAAGTGCACAGACTAAGTAGTTAATGATGAGCTGAAGAATAATCTGGTCATTTTTTAGGCAACACAAAATGAGTCAATAAAGAGCTCACACGAGGTGGAGAAAAATAAACTTAAAAACTCAGGTGGGTGCTACAATTTGTATTTGTAATTTAGTGCATGAAAGTTTTATTTTTACAACAGGAACTGCTTGTGTTGAGCAAAGGGCACCTTTGCCTTTGTTTGTTTTAAATATAAAAAAAAAATGCTGTATTTTCTTATTACATGCTAAGTGCTTTTCTTTTTTTCCCCCGTTTGTTTGGTGTAATACAGAAAAGTAAACTCAGTGCTGCTGCTGCCTCAGATAGAAATCCAAGCATTTCAACAGATGAGAAAATGTCTCTACTTCAAGATAAGGACTAGGACACAATGCCGGTGCTATGTACCTGCAGCGAAACTTAAAATGTAATGGACCGATATTCAGGACTGCCACTTTGACCTCCAGAGTTTTACATTTCAGTTGAAGGTTGACGAAACTCTTAAGCCAATGACTACATATTTTTTTATAGTGTATGTTGTGAGGAGAGAGTCTACATCCTCTCTGAACTATACAAGCGGGTTCATAAATGCTGTGTATTTATTGTTAAACTGGTATCACTGTGAACAATATACCACTTCTTTAGGAGAAGCAATTAACTTTTGTTGGATTTACATGCATATGAATATTAATGTTTCTCTATCAACAACAAGGGAACTTGTATTTTATTGCCAATGTGCCTTGAAAATATCTCGTCATGAACATGTCTAACTACCTTCAGCTTGTTGTTTTGTGTTTTAAGAAGACTGTCATTAGGATACTGAACTTCAAAATGTGTAAACTGTTTGCTTCTGTAAAACTGTAAATATATTTGACATTGACTATAAAGTGCCTTATTGTTCAAGTAAATTTATGACTATGTATGTACTACTGTACATTCAGTGCACAGATAAAAATACATCATAAAAATCTATTACGTCTATATTTGTGTTTATCTGAAGAAAGACAATGTCATATCTCATGCCTTCATTCCTGAAAGAAAACTTATGGCAGCAAATTTGTATTATTTAAATCCTGTCCTGTCCTAGCTTTTAAAACGTTTGCTGGTAGGCCTACTTAACCTTCTTTGCAGTATTATTAACATGGAAACGTGGAAAGTAATCGATAATCACACCACTAGATGGCAGTCTTGAATTTAATTTGGTCATCAAAATTTACACAGACAACACTCTTTAGCAGGTCTAGTAAGACCTTAAGTGAATATAAATTATAATTACACATTTAATACAGTTCACACCAAAAAGAAATGGTTTAAAGCAGATTTCACATAACATATTTTACATTGGTTATATCAGTCAGAAACCAAACAGACTTTAAAGTGACCAGATGAATATCGTATAAAAATATGCATACATATTTAGATGCCTTAAGTGCTTTAAATGACAATTTGGTAAGAATGTGTTTCGACTGCCCCCCCCAACACTATGTCATAACAAGGAGCTAATCCTGGCCAACAGGTGCCCTCTCTATGTAGAGCTACATGGACTCTTGTCATGTATAAACAAGACAGGCACTGTGAGATTTTCCACTATCTGTGTTGCACACAGCTCAAAACAAACAAGCGCGATGCTTTTTCACATTGTGGAGCTGGAAGTCAACTAAAGCACAGTGGCTGCTGCCTTACACTTTTGATCTATGTAATCTGCCTGTTCAGACGGTTGTGAGGAGCCACTGCGTTTACCCAGAGTGTTGGCATCAGTTGCACAAGATGGAAGCTTAGCATTCTTCTGCAGCAGCACTGAGGTCGGTCTAGCAACAGGCACTGCAGTCTCCATCCAGCTGGCTCGATATGTGCTCACCTGAAAACACATACATAGCTATAAGCTATAAAATATTACTTTTAGTCTTTCTTGACTAGATGACTGCTGCAGTGAGCATAGGCAGACATATAAGCAATGACAATCACATGCCTGGACATCCCTCCTGTGTCCCAGCACACACCTGGGTTTGTAAGTACCGGGGGGATTTAAGCTCTAGCTCTGCTTTCACCACACGGACCACACAGCAACACAAAATCTGGTGGAACCCAGCTCTAAATCTGTAAATACAGATTTGCAAATCAATAAAAAATGAAATCTCAACTAAATGACATTCTGAAATTAGCATTACCTGCTGTTGAGGCAGTAGTAGATAATGGGGTTGTACATGGTGGAGCTCATGGCCAGCCACATTATGGCGAGGTACACCTGCTGAATGTACACCTGCTCCAAAATCTCAGGAAAATACTGGTGCAGCAGGAAGTAGATGTGGTATGGCAGCCAGCATACAGCAAATGTGCACACTACAATGATCATCATTTTGACCACCTGTCACAGAACACAGGCATGGGTTTAAATAATCTCTCCATTTGTTATTGTCATAACATAAGAGGATTAAAGACCCATTAAATTAAACAATGACATTTACAAAATGAACAGGGTGTGTCCTCACCTTGCGTTTGGCTAAAAGTTGCTCCTTGTAGTGCTCAGAGGAGTCCCCAGGGATCTCACTACCCCAAAGTGTAATTCCCACAACTGTATATGCACAACTCATTATGCACAGAGGTAGGAAATAAATCAGCACTGTCACACACACATAGTATCTAGGGAAATAATGAATGTGTTATAGGAAGTTTCTCTAAAATAACATCCCCTAAAAAACGAAAGTTGTGATTAAACAGTATAAGAGCATTACAAGTGGATAATGTGCTAGTTGGATCAATAAATACATAATTATAACATCTTACTAATTAGAGGTGGTCTTGCTTGTGTGGCCAAAAAGTCGTATTTGCCAACATCAATATCATAAACTGCATGGCAAGTTCCATAAAATGAAGAAAAGTTTTATTAACTTCTCAAATTAACATTTAACATTTTAAGCAAAATGTAATTTCTCTGATTTAATATGATCTCTTATACCTTTTATTAGAGATTGATCAATACATGTTTTTTCATGCAATGAGTCTGATACCAATTCAGAATACTCGATGGCTGATATATTATATTATATTATATTTTTGAGACAATTATGTAGGTCGATTTTGACTATTTTCCACAAATGAAACAATTTAAATTTGCTAAAAACACAGGGATGACAGTAGCTCAGTTGGTAGAGCATTTGTCCACTGATCCGGAGGTTGGCGTAATTCGTCATCGGTTGAGCGTTCAGATCCACTGACCCACAGGTTGGCTGGTGTGATTCCAGCTCCTACAGATGAATGATGTCGTTGCGTCCTTGGACAAGACACTTATCCCACCTCACCCCCATTGTCTGTGTACACTGGTGTATGTGTATGTGTGTGTGTGTGTGTGTGTGTGTGTGTGTGTGAAAGGGTGAGTGATTCCTTGATATAAAAGCGCTTTGAACGCCTTGAAGGTGGAAAATCCCTACATAACAATGTGACAATTTACCATACACAAACCTGTATGGTTACAAATTGAATAAGAGGGCAGTGTAGTCACATTTGGAGCCTTCAAATATAAATCTTTATAAATATTCTCTAGCTGGTTGAGCCAAACAAAATATCAGTCTCTGCTGAAGAATTTTTAACATTACTGCTAATATTTCAGTTTACACATTCTACAGTGCCCTGTATTTTTAAGATTAGATATTGGTGGTATCTATGGTGTCACTCACATTTTCTGGAAGTTCAGTGCGCTGTACTCTGGCCAGTCTATGTAGCACACAGTGCGACCTGGGAGCTGCATTATGGAGGAGTAATAATATTGAGGGAAAGCCAGGAGCAAGGCAAGGATCCAGATGATGGTAACCACCACCCGAGTCTCTGTGGATGACAGTCTCTTCTGAAGAGGATGGGTGATCGCAATGTACCTGGAACACACACAGCCTCAAGCACACCTCAAAATAAGGTTCTCCAGATGCCCACTTAATCTGAACATAATCATGATATGAGTATCACACAGACCATACCTGTCCAGTGAGATGGCAGTCATGGAGTAAATACTGGCAAATATGGCAGCGACAGGGAAAAAGTTGTGAAAGCGGCAGTAAACTAAACCGAAGTACCATTCATTGTGAACAGCATATGCAAAGTTGATCACTGTGTTGAATGCTGACATGGAAGCTTCAGCAAAAGCAAGATTCACCTGCAAAAATGAACACTGTTTTTCTGCAAACCAGTGCACACCAGTACACAACAGCTATAAACAACATAGATTACCCTACACAAACTGAGACAGGGTGATTGATATCCTCTTGATATAGTCTACATAGATTGCATAACCTACTTGACAACTACAATGTTAAGCCTTGTGTCTTGTTGAGAAAATGTGTACACTGGGAGTTTTTCTTTAAATTCTCTAGATTATTTAATTTTTTTTAACTCCCAGTTATGTTAATATTGTTCTTTTTTTTAATATTAGGATTTTAACGCCTTGGAGGCTGCTGTTTTAAGTAAAGTCAAGAGAAATGAAAAACTGAAGTCAAGTCAGTTATTTTCACCTTGATTTTAAGGAGAAAAACCTAAAGTTATCACGATAAATAACCAAATTTCCTTTAAGGCACAAGGGTTAAGTCTGAAAAAAGTTTGAGCTATAAAAACCTGTTGTTAGTAGTAGTGGTCAAGTTTTCTACCATAGAAAGCACTGTTAAAGCAAATAAATAATAATGCTATAAAGTGACAATAACATACTTACCAAAAAGTAGTTGGTCACAGTCCTCATGCGTTTGTGCGTCAGGGTAATCCAAATGACCACCATGTTTCCCACAACTGACACAACAACTATGCTGCAGTAAGCAAGAGCCCAAAGCGCAATTTGCCAAACGGGTTGCACAAACTGGTTAAATTCATCAGTGGCGTTTGGGGACGCGTTATAAAATGTAACATTGTCGAGAGGGTCCATCTTTCCCCGCGGTGCTGTGGTTGTGGGTTAAAAATAGCCGTGTGCCCTGTTGCTTGTCATTGGTACAGTGTTGCGCCTCTTTAGTGAGAGAGCGCGACAATAGCGATGTCTCTGAGTGCACGTTAGACTAGACACCAGCGTATCTTTACTCTTTCAATAAGTCCCAAGTGCTTACCGTAGACATGGTGCGCCAACTCTGGAGTCGTCGTGGGCCACCCTGTCCGGGTGTCCAAACTTGTCTGGGAAGCGTTTTGGGCAAATAGCAAAAAAAAAAAAAAAAAAAAAAACACTGAATAAAAACCTCTACTGAACTTGAGTTATTGCATATAGCAGAGAGGTTGTGAGATTGGATAATTGTAACATTGTCGACACCCACAGGTTTTACCAGACAGATTATATCACATAGGATTTCGAAACCCCTTCTCATCCTAATTTTTTTATCAATGCCATTCCTTTGGTTACTGGCCTAATACAGTCACATGATTAAAATGAGCGGGCTGCAATTCTACTCACATAACATAGCCTACAGGCCTACAGTATAGGTTATGAGGTCAAAGGACTGAGGTTATCTCTAAACTGGGAAACTGTGACGCGCATCACAGATCGCAGGATGTCACTTTGGATTGAGACTTCACTGCGAGAACACAGTTGTCGCTTTGTCACCTGCTCCTCTCGACACGCGGAGTGAGTCTGTAAAATCTGGCATGTGAGCTTCCATCAAGATCAAGTAAAGTTATGTATGAACAAGTTAGGCTATGTGTGAACTAACCAACCGGTATCGTACGGGCAATTACTCACTTAAAAAAGTTACGCTGGTGCAAGTGTTTGTGGCTCACAGTCTGTGAGCTGGTGGCTCTATACCTGATGTACTGCCCGTGTCACTTCCTTTAGCCCGGAGCCTTTCTTTGTTGTTAATCCTGTAGGTCAGCAGTCACACTTTTGGACTTGTCACAGAGTAGTCAAAACTGGTGTCATCATAGTGTGAACATCATTTGAGAAATTCCAGTGTATTTTTCAGATGCTTTAATCAGTTCCTATTTGATTGTCAAACATTTTTTAAATTATGAAATAGATTACAATGAAATAGATACATTAAATCGTCCAACCATCACTGTTTGCTTCTCAACCATTAGAAAGTAAAAAAGAATGAAAAACAAGGATGAAAATTCCCTGAACCAGAATTCAACAGGGAATCCTCCATCTCTGGAGCCCAACGCCTGAGGTAATAACAAATGTGTGCCACTGTTGATGAATGCTTCTGTATCGTAATTGCAGCTGTATGCTTGGATTAAAAGCTGTGATTTAGTATGTTTTGCTTTCTATTGTATCGTATGCACACTGAAATTCACTTCTCTTGGGGCAATTATAAAGTTAAAATTGTGTGTTGTATCATTGTGATAGTAATGTATTACTGTACAGTGATTTCTCCTATTATATATTACTATACTACTACTACTACTGTTATACTACTATTATACTTATCAGTGTTTGATTACATAACCTACTTTAAGGCATACTTGGACAACCTAATTGATCCACAAGGAAAATAATTTGGATGCAGCTGCTAAAAGTATAAGATAAAAAAATATATATAATTATATACTTCTTCTGTAAGTCTGTGTCAAAAATAAAGCCTTAGCACTTGCATTATTGTGACATTGAGCGAAACAAGGCTGTGATTGGAGCTCCAACCTAATCAATTGATCTCATTCACCCTCAGTGGCACTCAATACCCAGTTTAAGTGAAGCACACGCTGTCACTCTGCCCACTCATCAGTAGAGTCTGAATCGTGGCCTTCTGCTGCTACTTCCATATACCAGGTAAGGTTTTTTCTCAAGGCACTTATGTTTATTATATGGTTTTCTGTTACTTTTTGTTACCTAACATAATTATGTAACTATACTTGCATAAAAATAAAACAATGGTAATTTAAATTAGCATCATGATGACAGTTATGAATCAGAAGTTGACTGAGCTTGGACAGTGAAAATAACAATAGTATAGAATCTTTTGATTTAGATATAATTTTTTATGAAAGTCTCATGAGTTGAAAGCACTTTTGTGGTATTGCTTTCTGTATGTTATCTCGACCCGGTATTTTGCAGAGAATGGCTTGATAAATTCCTGTGCAAAAAAGTTCCAATCTAGGAGATTTTTAGGTCTGAGGCCAGGACTGTGGTGTGTTCATGTTAAAAACAACCTCAAGGGTTAGTTCATCAACACTGATACAGTGTTTATATCTAATGGTGAATCTGTCAAAATACAAATAAACTGTACATGTGTAACACATATACTGTAGAGAATATAACATTCATTGCTATATGTCAGAAGTGTTAACTGTATAATCTTTTGCTTGGGACATCCTATGTAATATAAGGGCGTAGTTTGGCTCTCAAATGTGTTTGCATGACTGCCCTCATGTGACTGTCCTTCACAGTCACTGACCAGGTTTCAGGAACTAGATCGTCATTGGAAATGGCACATATTGATCAGCCCAGAAACTCACCCAAATCACAGATCTACGTCACAGCTTCCAAGAAATTGATGAATCAATATGTCACTGTAAGTTGGCAGTATGAAGAGAGACAGCGAGTATAAGTACACTGCTTCTTATTTCAGCTCTCAACATTATTTAAATAGTCATATGTTAGTTTAGAGGGAATGAAGGGAATTCCTGTATTATTTGTTTCCATGGTCTATTCAGAAGTCAGAGGCCAGAGGCTTGCTTGGATTTCCATTGAGTTTTCCTGTCAAGTATTGACCTGCTACATTTGGGATGTGACACCGAGTTGTAGGGACGCATTGGGGTTGCATTAGACTCATTCTAAAGGTTTAGTTTCCCCAGCACATATTTAGTCTATTCAGCAAGTAAACTGTGTCTCTTTTAGAATGGAACATCATGACTGGCAGAGAGGAAGGAGCAAAGGTCACAGGCGATATGAGGATGAAGGTGAGAACAGAAATTTGTCTTTGCAATAGATTAATATCACAACATTCAACAATATGATGTCATGACCTCAGGTGGAGGGAGGGGCCTGTATAACTCAATAAGTCACTCAATGCCTTCAACTTTTTAATCGTGCAAAAATCACATCACTTGTTTTTGCTGACTAAAGAGACATTGAAAGGAGTGATGTTTTTATTTCATGTGAATGTCACAACATCTACAAAAAACAGTTGAAAGGCAAATTGTACCACAGATTTGTTAGCAGTCACTTGTGACCTCAGTGTTGTGATGCCACACGAACGTACATTATCCATGCATATGTATTATACAGTGGTGGAACGTAGCAAAGTAAAAGTTGTAAAGTTAAGAATACTTAAGAATACATTTTTGGTATTTGTACTTTACTTTAAAATGGATACTTTTTTACTTTCTACTCCACTACATTTTTAGACAGGACCGAAAAGTATTTTTTGTTATAGTTTGAGCAAACAAAAATATACAAATAAAAACAGGTACATTAAATTTTAAAAAATCAACAAAATTCAGCACAAATCTTTATCAAAATCATTACATTTAAAGCTTTATAAGACCTCAAAATTGGTGTGTAATACATTTGCTTTTTACTCTTTAATTACATTTTAAATTGAATACTTCAATACTTTTACTTGAGTAGATTTTTCCGATATCTCTACATTTACTAAAATAACATCACTGGTATTATATCAGTGAACACGGAATCTGTTGACATTTGTTGACATCCCTTTCAGACATTCAGCCTGTGTACATCGGACTTCCAGTTTCTCACAGAAGGAAAAGGCGCAGACGTCACACTTATGCCAGTGCTGCTGAGCAAGAGATGCGTCACTCTCATAGCGACCACCACACTCATCAGGAGCACTTGAGACGGGGCTACTACCACGAAAGAGAAGAGAGATATGAAGAGGACGACGGAAGCACTGAGAGCCACGATCCTGACCTCTTGGGTTAGTAAACTGGGTTACACTTTGTAATAATTACATCATTAGCCTTACAAAAGCATGAAGAAAGGCTTAATTCCAAATGAACAAATAATTTATTAATAAGATGCACTTAGCAACTTAATTAAGGGGTTAGGAGCCATGATTAGTAAAGACAAAAATTGTTAAGACTTTTAAAACCTTTAATCATCTCAAAGACAAAAATTTACTTTACAACAGACCACTTCTGTAAATAATTTTTCTCCCATTGCAATTTACCTTGGCATAGTTACTTAAAAAAAAAATTATACATTTTTCCTAATATTTATGGGCAATAATTACCTGATAACTGCACATTAAAAAAATGTATAATTGCTAGTAATATATATATATATGTATGTTAGATTTGCTGACATAATTCTTATTGGCTTTACACATTTTTATGGTAAAACTGGTTCTTCATGAGTTATTAGTACACCATACTATAGTTATTATAACTCCATATTATCTAGTTACTTAAGCTGTGGCCCATCTTCATTGATTTAACATGGAGCATAAGATATGTTTGATCTACATGCATGTAACAGGTCAGTGGGTAGTAAGAATGTGAATTAACCAGAGAGCCAATGAAAATGATGAATATTTTCCAGCCGGGTCCCTGTTCCCAAGAGGCCACGAAGTCTGAGGTCTGTAAGCTGATTAGGGCTGAGGAAGTTGTGTTTGTTATTTGGGCAGTAGTGAGCGTTAGCCAGTTTCAGCAAGAAAGTGGATAAATAGTTAGGGAAAGGGCAGCCTATTCTTGAGTTTACATGAACGTGTGCACTGAGAGAGTACTTGAGGGCCTTGTGGTGTGCGTCCATGCAGATACAACCTGTTTTTACTGCCATTTTGACAGATCTTCTCAGACTAGTTAAACTTCTCAGATCTGAGTACCATAGCCTACATGAAAGTGATAAATAAGAGGACAGACTAGAACATGTCACAGAAGTGAGAGTTTAAACTACTCCGTACTCAGTAGTGGGTGAAAAAGACCAGTGGTGACCTGTGGAGCCATACATTTAAGTTTTCGTCTGGATTAAGGAAGCATGCAGGACTCCGGAATATATTTTCCTTCTTGCTGGACATTGGCTGGCACTGAAAGAGGTAAAGGCAGAAGCATTAGAACAGTCTGGTTATTATAATAGACTACTACATGTTAAGAGACAGTTAAAAGGATTTTTTACAACCAAACGAGAATGATAGAATTGTGTCTTGTTTTACTCTATGGGTTCAAATTAATTTTCAGTAATGAACTAAATGGGGAAAAATTGCTTAAGATGCTGCAGGCCCCACTTTCTGAGACAATGTTGGCCCTCCATAGTCACATTCCTGTTTCCACAATCTAAGATGAAGAATGAATTTGTATTGAAATGTTTGCTTGTTTTATGTTTTATGTTTAAGTGTATGTTTATAGAATAAACTTTATTGTGTTTTAATTTGTCATTTTTGGATTAGTAGATGCAATAGATTACGTATTTACTCCAAAAATGTGTTCAATAAAATTATTTAAAGAAGGTTTGCCTGTCTCACCATAGGCTGTATAAACCTGTGGTAAACTCTGTATGATGTAGATGTATGGAAGTATGGATGGATGGATGTTAAACTGCTGCTTACTACTTAAGTGCAGGCTGACTTGTTTTTTGCTTGAATGCAGAGCTGAGAACATCATTCTTAGCTGACTTATAAACCCTTTATAAATACAGACAGATTTTGTTTTTACACTTTAGCCCTTAATACAGAGGAACACATGGAGTAAGCCTCTTGATTTGAGACGCTCAAGCGCACAACTATGCCTCATGACCCAATTTTGACACTGTTGCTAACTTGTGTACAATTGTATGATCCTAAAAGTTATCTATATTTATTTGGTTAAATATTCGGTTATAATAATATTTCCTTGTCCCTGTTTATTTGCATCTAACTTACATGACATTTTAATTGTGAAACTTAAAGCCCCATCAATTCATTTGGTGGTCAATGACTTTTTCAGATTGAGGTATGAAAAGGGAAACGAAGTGAACTGTGCACACAATGATGGCCGCAGGGCTGAATGTTAATGGAGATTGATTTGCTCAGAGTAAAATTAGAAATGTTGTGACTAACAGATCAGTTATCATCAATAAAGCAACTGGCTGTCTCTGCCCCTGTGTTCAGTTCAGTTAATTAGATAAAAAAACGCAGTAAAAAGCATACATTACAATATATACAACATTTTACAAATCAAACCAAATATTTCCCCATTTCTTTATCTAAAAAATATACAGGCCAGTTTTAAAGTAGTGAAAAAACACACAAAGAAAAACTATAATTATTTCACACTCCACTACCAATTTCAGCATTTACTTACAATTTAAATTTTTTACTTTGTTGACCTTGTGATATTCGGAGACCATACAATAGAGTCCCATTTTACAAATATGGATCCAAAATACACACTTCTCCAATACTTTAAAAAGTACAGAGAGATATATGGACCTGCCAGGTAATAACTTACTGTACTATACTTCAGTCGCTTCATGCTTGTTTCTTACATAGTCTCACCTGCTGCTGAGAGATTACGCCATATTTTGGGAGATGATGATGGCACGCCCACACCAACAATCTTCACTGAAATGGACACACTACAGCATGATGGTGGAGAGCTTGAGTGGAAAGAGTCTGCCAGGTATCAAATTGAAGATATTTTAAAATCATCTCCAAATGCTCTGCTATGTTTAGTATTTAGTGGTACATTTTGTTCAGATTCATCAGGTAAAGCCTCTTTTATAGATGGGTGAAGTTTGAGGAAAAGGTGGAGGAAGGAGGAGAGAGATGGAGCAAGCCACATGTGTCCACGCTGACCCTTCATAGTCTGTTTGAGCTGCGTACGTGTCTCCAGACCGGGACCATCCTGCTCAATCTGGAAGGGAATTCTCTGCCACAGATTGTGGGTAAGTTGATAGCACTGTTATTAGACTGTGGACATATGAGTTAAAGATATGACATATTATGCTGCATTTTTGTTGCAGATGAGATACTGGAGCAACAAATAGCTGATGGCCTCATTACCCCAGATTTGAAGGAGAAGATCAGTTTCGTCCTTCTTAGAAAGCATCGTCATCAAACCAAGAAACCCATCCATCGCTCACTGGCAGACATAGGGAAGCCCTCCAATCCAGCTCCAAGTGAGTCTGTCTTTATGTTTCACTTCTCATTTCTCTAACTAACAAACTGTCAGTAATGGCGTCCTACTGCTTTGTGTGACTTCCCCTCTATAACCACTCTATGTGCCTCTGTCAGACCGTAGTCCTGTTAATCTGAGTCGTAGCACTAGTTCAGCTTCTGGGATCCACCGCTCCACAGATGACCTTCGCTCTCGGCAGTCGAGCAGCCTTGGCCGTCTGCGTGAGTTGCACTTTGGTTTCCTTCTTTAATTAACACTATTTACCTGGAACTAACTTTCAGTCTGCATGACTTTCCCATTTTGTTAACTCAGAATGTTTTGTTTCACGACATTATGTAGGGCATTTTGGACGATATTATATGCAACTTTTCTCATTAGATGAGTACTGATCAGTTGTCATTTTCCCCTGTTTTGTGGTTTGTATATCTCGATCAAGTTGTGTCACAATCACAGACTGTATATTGAAGTTTATATTACTCTTATTATACTTATTAATACTCAACAGAAGATATTCTAACACAGGTTTTATTCACAGATTACAATCAGAGCCGAAGCATGAATGATATTTCAGACACTCCAAGCACAGACCAGGTAAAGGTTTTTATTTGAATGAGTTTAAAATTCAGATCACTCTACTAGAAATATGAAGTTAGCAGAATGTTATAATCCCTCTAATCCACATAGACTGGTGGCAAATTGGGACATGTAATACTGTGTGTGTGTGTGTGTGTGTGTGTGCGCGCGCGTGTGTGTGTGTGTGTGTGTGTGTGTGTGTGTGTGTGAGTGTGTTAGTGCTTTCCCCTTTGTGTAATCTCCACTTCAGTACTTTGGCTGTTTTTAAATACACTTTACATCAATAAAATAAAATAAAATACTTACTGGGCAAAACTGATGCAGTGAGCAAGAGATGGTTATGGATATAGTCAGGTACATATGTACAACATAATAGCAGTAAGATTAGCTATGATATGTAACTTTGAGTTATCTTTTTTTTCTTTTTTCTTTTTTTTTTTAAAAAAGATGTACATGTACAGTATGACAAATAGAATGCATGTATGGAACCAGACAGTTTTTAAAGAACAGTTGGTGATTTGACTCTTAGAATAGCATTAAAAGATTATAACAAGATTTTCAATATAAGCACTTGCCATTTCTTTGCCACATGTTTGAGTTTGTGAAACTGTTGGGATAAGTAAGGAAAAACAGCAACTGCACTCAAATCATTTGGTAAATGTTGTGAGTATGTTCTTGTATAAATGCAGTAGTAAGTGTATAGGAAGACATTCTCTGACACCGCATCTGTGTTATGTTTCAAATTTGTTTTCCTTTATCTTATCTAGTTAAGGAACAAGTTCATGAAGAAGATTCCTCGAGATGCTGAAGCATCCAACGTTCTTATTGGAGAGGTGGACTTTTTAGACAAACCATTTGTTTCCTTTGTGCGCTTGTCCCAAGCCACAACTTTAGGGGGCCTCACTGAGGTCCCAGTCCCGACCAGGTGGGTGCGCAGACCATTTACATATTTGCTGCTCTTATGGGGTCTCCTCCCTTCAGTTCCATATTTTTCTCATAGGTTTCTTTTTATTCTGCTGGGTCCTCATGGTAAAACCAAATCTTACAATGAGATTGGCAGAGCTATTGCTACTCTTATGGTGGATGATGTAAGATGAATAAAACATATTCTTTATTTGTCTCATGTCAGTTTTGATGTTATTTGACTGTTTATCTACTAGCTCTTCAGTGATGTTGCTTACAAAGCGCGAGACAGAGAGGATCTGATTGCTGGTGTTGATGAGTTTCTGGATGAAGTCATTGTTCTTCCACCAGGGGAATGGGACCCAAAAATTCGCATAGAACCTCCTAAGAAAGTCCCATCTGCAGAAATGAGGTGTGTTTTATGTTTTTTCAGCATATTGCAATAGCAAATAAATTGTTCCCTCTTTTTGACTGAAGGAAGTCAGTGCTGAACTTGAATGAGCTGGGAAAAATGAATGGCTCAGTTGGTGGGGGAGCTGTGGCAGAAGACGATGAGATGCCTCCTCAACATGAGCTTGGAGAGGAACTAAAATTCACTGGGAGGTATAAAAACAATGGGGCCATGCTGTACAGTGCAGTGTGTCTGTTGCATTGTAGAGTGTTTAATGTGTTTTGTCTTTTCTGTAAAGGTTTGGCGGTGGCTTGTGGCTAGATATTAAAAGGAAGATCCCTTGGTACTGTAGTGATATCTATGATGGCTTCCATATCCAATCTATCTCTGCTGTGCTCTTCATTTACCTTGGTTGCATCACTAATGCAATAACCTTTGGGGGTTTGCTGGGAGATGCCACGGACAATTACCAGGTTACAAAAGAAACCTCTTCTCAACTATTGTCAAATATATTTGACACAATTCTTCTGTAAACTTCTGTGTGTTCTTTTCAGGGTGTGATGGAGAGTTTCCTCGGTACAGCTCTGGCTGGAACTGTCTTTTGTTTGTTTGGTGGACAGCCTCTCATCATTCTCAGCTCTACTGGCCCAATTCTCATCTTTGAAAAACTGCTATATGAATTCAGCAAGTAAGTATCAGCGTTACAAAAATGCTAAAGAAAAAATATAATTCTTGTTTTAACGGTGTCCTTGGACAGGAATAATTCTGTTGACTACATGGAACTGCGCCTGTGGATTGGCCTTCACTCGTGTATGCAGTGTTTTGTACTTGTTCTGTCAGATGCCAGCTACATCATCAAATACATGACCCGCTTCACCGAGGAGGGCTTCTCTAGTCTCATCTCCTTTATATTTATCTCTGATGCCATTAAGAAGATGGTACGTTTATCAGACTCCATGGTGTTGTGATTGATAAACTTCCAAGGAGAGTAAAAAAATAATCAAAACCATGTAAATATGTTTAATTCAGGTAGGAGCCTTTAAGTATTACCCAATCAACCGAGGTTTCAAGTCAGACTACATCACATCTTACAGGTGTGATTGTCTTGCTCCAGACCAGGGTGAGTCTAAACTCAAGAGCATTTCCTTTTACAAAAGTTCCAGTGTGATATTTAAAGTATATTCTATGTTTATCTGCCTTGTTTACTGGACACTCATTGGCAATGTAAGTATAATGTATTGAAACGATTGGGCAGTATGTGTCAAAATAAACACAGATTTACACCACTTCTAAAATGTAAATATATTTCACAGCCTCTGCTCTGGACTTTAATGTCTCAGCACCACTGGCAGATGACAACATGACTATACTGGTAAGTAATGCAACATACATTTGGTTCAGTTAACTGTGTTTAACTGTTTTTGTATATGTGCAGTTTAATCTGACTGATATGGGCTACAGTCAGCTCAGTAAGAAAGAGTGTGTCAAGTTTGGTGGGTCTCTGGTGGGAAAGGCCTGTAAGTATGTACCAGATCTGGCACTTATGTCCTTCATCCTCTTCTTCGGCACCTATTCCATGACCATCTCACTCAAGAAATTCAAGTCTAGCCGCTACTTCCCAACAAAGGTAAGAATGGCTGTCACAGTGCTCATCTTCAGACTTTCCAAGAATGTACATAACATAACTTTTTAATCCTTAACCGGTATGGTGACCATTAAACCTTATTTTATGCTCTTATTTGATCAATTTTGGAAGCTGAAAAAGTATAGATAAAATGTAGTTTACATATATAATAAATACTGTCAGCATCTATTTTTGTATTAGATGTGCATTTAATCTATGTCATAAGGAAAGCTTTTTTTAGTTGTATTAGGTAAATACTACATACCATGATCTTAGCTCATGCATGCAAGTTTGTTGTATCCTGTACCCAAATGTGTTTTCCAGCTGCGCTCTCTGATCAGTGACTTTGCCATCATCATTTCTATCCTGGTCTTCTGTGGTTTGGATTGTCTGTTAGCGTTGGACACGCCCAAACTCCACGTACCCACCCAGATAAAGGTCCCTCTTCCCTACCGTGTTCCCTATTGTTTCTTTTTTATCGACTGTAATCAAAGAATCAACATTTACTGATCTCATATCGGTATTGATTGAACATAGTACTTCTCACAAGTTTTTCTCTTCTCTTTCTTTTCACTTTTTCATTTTTCTGCACTGTTGTAACCCACCTGCTGTGTACTGGGACCTTTGGTAGCTGAGGAAGCTTATTAGTGATTTTGCCATCTTTATGTCAATCATGACCTTTGTGGGTCTGGATATGTTGATGGGCTTAGACACACCTAAACTGATCGTACCAACAGAAGTCAAGGTATTCGACAAATTATGCAAAGCAGTTATCTCTGTGTCTACAATTATCTCTGTGTCTATAACTTAAAGCCTTATAGTAACTTAAGGCTTCCTGTTAAAGTTTCTTTGTCTGGTTCTCCACTTCACAGCCAACGCGTACGGACCGTGGCTGGATAGTAATGCCATTTGGTAAAAACCCCTGGTGGTGGTACCTGGTCAGTGCCATCCCTGCTCTCCTAGTGACTATACTCATCTTTATGGACCAGCAGATTAGTGCTGTCATCGTCAATCGCAAGGAAAATAAACTCAAGGTCAGCCCTTAGAAAATGTTCTCTATAAAGAGTAACTGTATGCATGAACTAATATGTGTGTCTTAACCTGGTTTACAGAAAGGATGTGGCTATCACCTGGACCTGTTCTGGGTTGGGGTTCTTATGGCTGCATGCTCCTTTATGGGTTTGCCTTGGTACGTTGCTGCTACTGTGATCTCCATCGCTCACATCGACTCTCTGAAAATGGAGAGTGAGAGCAGTGCCCCGGGAGAACAGCCTCAGTTCCTAGGTGTCAGGTAAGACCACACAGGAGTGGATATTTGAAGGTGTATCTCTTAACTCTGCTGCTGTAATGTCTTTAATGATTACTTTTTCTATTCAGGGAGCAGAGGCTCACAGGTATTCTGGTGTTTGTCCTCACGGGTGTATCTGTCTTCCTCGCTCCAGTGTTGCAGGTTTGTAAATACAAATACTGCTGACAGATGATTAGTCAACTAGTTTAACTCCACACATGGACTCAGAATTACAGTTTATTTTCTTGTTAAAACTATGTCACTACTTTGATTTAAGTGAAGCCCATTTTATTCCAGTACATCCCAATGCCTGTCCTCTATGGTGTTTTTCTGTACATGGGAGTGGCCTCATTAAGTGGCATCCAGGTAACATTTTACTTTACAGTCTATAAAGTGTATTCTTGCTGCCTTTACTAGAGATTTGTTAATACTCTCATATAGCTCAATCTTATCTAGAATTATTAGTATGCAAGTTTCAATCAAACAACAAGTCACAATGCACAGCTTTCTCTCATCTGTATCTGCTTCTCTCTCTCTACAAACACGCTTGACAGCATTGCATTGCTTGCTCTGACTGGCCAGAGATAATATGCAGATTGTGGTTTAAAACAGCTAAATTCAGCTTTTTGCAGTTTAAGTAAATTCAGTTTTGTGTTAAAGATTTATCTAAAATCATGCTAAAATTGTTAAAAGAGCACTTACTTTATATCTATATCTATCTATCTATATATATATATGTATATATCTATATATATCTATATATATATATATATATATATATATATATATATATTTTTTTTTTACTTCGTCCTTTGTAACTCATATAAAAAATTTAAAGAATAAAAAAATTAAAAGAATTAAATAGGGTAGTTTGCTTACCATCTTATTCTGCATTTTCTGTTGCAGTTCTGGGAGCGAATCAAGTTGTATCTGATGCCAATTAAGCATCAACCGGACTTCTCCTTCTTGCGCCATGTTCCTCTCAGGCGAGTGCATCTGTTCACACTGATCCAGATTGTCTGCCTGGCCGTCCTCTGGATCCTCAAGTCCACCTTTCTGGCCATTGTCTTTCCAGTAATGGTTGGTACTTTCTAACCTTATATTTGCAGTTATATTTTTGTTTTAGTTGGTTTGTGTAGTAAACAGTGAAGACCAAAACCTCAAATTGAATCTTAATGTGGTAATTTGCTGTTACCTTGTTCTCAGATCCTGGGTTTGATGGTGGTACGAAAGTTGCTGGACTTTATTTTTTCACAACATGACCTGGCCTGGCTCGACGACATTCTGCCGGACAAAGAGAAAAAGAAGAAAGAGGATGACAAAAAGAAAAAGAAAGAGAAGAGGACAGGGCAGCCTGATAGCGATGAGGAGGTGATTCATGCAGTGGTTTATGTTACAAGAGTACATATTTGTATCATATGTCTAACCCTGAGTCTGTCTATGTTGACTAATACTGTATGTTTCTCATCTGTCCCACAGTGTTGCTGAAAAGGCACTGTATAACACTGTCTATTCACTTTAAATGTCATTCTACTGTCCACATGTTATAGTCAAAAGCTGTGGGCCAAAATGTAGTTAGCGGTTAGGGTAAAAACATATATCCCAACTTTTTGCTTATATTGAATGATCATGATTTTCAGTTATTTTTTATTTTGTTGTATTAAAACAAATTAAAATGCGTTCAATATACTTTCAATACACACTTTTATTTAGTGTAATTTAATACAAACCATGGTCATCTGAACTTTGCTTTTACTTACCAAGGATTGGCTGTAGACCTAACCACATTGATTTCGATTAACATCTGATTGCAGTTATACACTATAATACTGTGTGGCCCTACACTTTGATTATGATAATGGCCAGAATAGTGCATGTCTTTAAATTTTAATCCTCTAACTGCTCAAGTGTGTCAGTGTAAAGAAATGTTAAATATGTCTGCATGCTATCAATCCATCCTTTATTTGTGGCCAGGCCCACAGCCCATCCCCATACTCCCAGAAGATTCCCATGGCAATAATAGATCCTCCAACCGAACCAGACCTCACATCTGTTACCCCAAACCAACCCTCTCACTGTAAGTACAATGTGCCCCCCCCCATGTTAGTATCCCAGCTGTATGGATAAATGTTGGATTCTCTGAAACTATAAAACAATATTCAGCCATTTAATTTGGTTTCTTTTCTCTGTTATGCCTGTGGCCTAAATTAAGAGAGAGTAATTAATACACTCTGAAACTGATTTCCCCCTTTTTGTCCCATTTGTATTTGTATTGTGTATGCTTGATTGACAGGAAACAAATCCATACTCGACAGTTACCTCCGATGATGACGAGCTGGACCGCAGGTACTGTGTGCTGAAGCTACACGTGCCCTACAATGATGTGATGTAACCTGGACACAAGATTAGTTGGACAGGAGATTGAAATTTAATTCATGCAAAATGTTTAAAACAGAAGCATTTGGTCTCAATGTAACAGTTTCTCTTTTAGATAGGACACACTAGCTTGGTCTCGATAGGCCTATTGAGAATTATAATTTTCTATGATAACTAACTTTTCTATGATAACGTTTTATAATTTAAGTATTTTAGTAGCCATTTGTTATTTCTGAATATTTGGATTGGACATTTTTTGCATTAAGTTAACTTGAATTAGACTTTATGTCATCATCCTTAATTTCCATTTCTTTTTGTGATTTAGTGTATCTTTATAAATGTATATGGTATTTTGGTTGTTTCTTTACAGTTATCTTAGTTGGATAACTGTTATCTTGTCTGCACACAGTAACTAAGTCGCTTAACTGAGAACAACTTTTTGCTATGGTCAACGGCGCCCTCTTAAGTCAGAGAAGGGCATTGCCTAACTGATGATTTTTTTCCGGGTCTAGACTCTAAAATGATTTGTGTAAACCTGGCTATTTCTCAGCATCACCGTGCATCTGAAGATCTGCCCCCCCTCGCCTGTGCACTCCCAGAGGAGCTACAGTTCAGAGTCCCCTCCCGCTCAACCCTTGTCCCCAGTGCCCTGGGTCCAGAGGACCGACAACTGTCAGTCTGACTTTAACATCAGGAAACATCACCTTTATCTCCCCAGCTACGAAAAGAGCCCAGACCCACCCAGAGACTACTACAGCAAACTGAGAGCCCACTTTGAAGACTCGTGTGCAGAGACCATTCTGTAGTGTCAATATATAATCAACTTTATCCTTTTGGCAGAGCAGTAAAATTTGTAATATTCAAACTTATACTAGAATCAAGACATTCAATTGTGAAGAAACAACCAAAATGTGTTATGAATAAGTGTTCTCTTGCCATTATATTGTCTTGTACTCTTTAGCTAGTATTACTCATTGGAAACAATGTGTAGGCCAGTTTGCTTGTTCAGAAATTATGGAATCAATTGTCTTACCAGGTCTAATGCACAGCAAATAAAGAAGCAGCATTAGATTGCATGAATTTTATTGAAAGGTATTTAACATATTAAAACACAAACACATCTAAAACAAAAATCAGAGATTTGAACAATTCCTGTCCCTCCAAAACACACGTTTCCCAATTTCTTCCTCTCAAACATAGCACCAAATGGAGGGTGGATTCCTTCTGCATGTTGTAGTCTGAGAGGGTATGACCGTCTTCAAGCTGCTTACCAGCAAAAATCAGTCTCTGCTGGTCAGGAGGAATATCTTCTTTGCCCTGGATCTTTGCCTTAACATTTTCAATGGTGTCACTAGATTCCACCTGCAACGTGATGTTTTTTCGGTCAGGGTCTTGACAAAGACTGCATTTTACTCTGTCAAAAGAAAAGGGACAATGCATTTTAGTAATTATACACAGAGGCCGGTAACACCATCTCGCACAGGAGTGGTGTTCTGGTTCGCCGTGGGATCATGTCATACAGAAGCCCTGAACCGCCAGTGTAAAACAAATTGAAATAAAAAGCTTGTGAACAACATGTGTAATTTTAAAAATTAGTTTTTTTGTTTTTTTTTGTTTTTGAGATTTTATCTCGTTATTTTGAGATAATCTCATTATTTCAAGATATTATCTCGAGATTTTGAGATATTATCTCACTATTTTGAGATATTATCTCACTATTTCAAGATATTATCTCATTATTTTAAGATATTACATCTCATTACACAAATCCTTAAAAAAATTTTTTTTTTTGTTTTTTTTGAGGTATTATCTCACTATTTCGAGATACTTTCTCATTATTTCGAGATAATATAATACTGTCTAAGGTTGAAACAATATTGTTATCAGCCACTAGAGGGCAGACGATGATAGCAGACAGCAGGGCAGTGTACAGAGATATAAGGCTCTGGCAGACAGCCCATTCAAAAGTCAGTACTCAAGCACCTATGACTTTAACCCTTTAATGTTCACTCCAAGAAAAAAACTATTTAAAAATTATTTTTTTGTACTTTTTAAGTTATTGGGTCACTAATAACAAAAATAAATAAAAAAAATATGTATAGACCCCCCAGTTTTAAAAATATATGCCTCTACCAAATGGTCGAGGTGGTGCTTGATGGTAAAAGTATCTAATACATATCTATAAATGTATATTATCAATAAACTTATTATTTAATAACTAGAAATACAAAAAAGAAAGTTGAAAACATAAAAATACCAGAAAACAATTCATGTCAATTAAATTTCATTCCAACTAATTAATTTCACTCCCATTTTCTGCATAAAATTCCAATACTTATGTGACAATAGTACTTTTTTAAAACATATGGGGCATTTATGTATTTCCCCTGTCTTAAAATAAGAAAAAAGAACACCTGAGGACCTATCCAACTTCTCAGTTGTGCTGTGTAAAATCTTCAAAGAACTTATTTTCTTGCATTGAACAAATTCAAAAAGGATACAAATCTCTCAAACAAAATAATGGTAACCAGTGGTAACCCTCAGCACATTATTTTTGATGATACGCTACAAAGCGTGGTGAAGAGGGAGCTGAGTCGAAAGGCGAAGCTCTCGATTTACCGGTCAGTCTTCGTTCCTACTCTCACCTATGGTCATGAGCTCTGGGTAGTGACCGAAAGGACGAGATCGCGGATACAAGCGCTCGAAATGAGTTTCCTCCGCAGGGTGGCTGGGCGCTCCCTTAGAGATAGGGTGAGGAGCTCAGTCACACGGGAGGAGCTCGGAGTAGAGCCGCTGCTCCTCCACATCGAGAGGAGCCAGTTGAGGTGGCTCGGGCATCTGTTCCGGAATGCCTCCTGGGCGCCTCCCTCGGGAGGTGTTCCGGGCATGTCCCGCCGGGAGGAGGCCCCGGGGAAGACCCAGGACACGCTGGAGGGACTATGTCTCTCGGCTGGCCTGGGAACGCCTCGGGGTCCCCCCGGAGGAGCTGGAGGACGTGTCTGGGGTGAAGGAAGTCTGGGAGTCCCTGCTTAGGCTGCTCCCCCCGCGACCCGGCCCCGGATAAGCGGACGAAAATGGATGGATGGATGGATACGCTACAAAGCATTCCCTCACTCCGATCAAGCACAGGAAAACATTGTACTTCTCACATTTCCATCTTGACACACCCTTTGGGCAGAGGCTGCATCGTCCTTGGTTGTCAGGGTGAAGTGGCCAATGTCCATAGTTGTCATAGCGTATGTCTGGTTCTGGCCGTGGGGGTCTTGGGGGGAGGCGTTTCTTCTCACAGGACATTTATGGTGGACAAGCAGATGATAGCTGACCAACTCTAGGTGCTGGTTTGTTGACTTGTTTCAAACTGTGGGCCACAGTCAGGCGAAACATTTTGAGAGGCATTGTTTTTTCCTTCAGTAAGTCACAGTCTCCCTTGTAGACAAACCAAGAATTGGAAATGCACAGGTCAAGGGCGTATCCAAAACAGGGGGAAGTACCAGTGTTGTTATTTGGCTGGGGTCTTGTACCCCAGAAACTTGAATCAGGAACCTGGAATTCATCAATATCTACATGCTTCCAGATTCTCCTGGATTAGTTTTCTTTCTTTTCAGCCATTTTTTTCTTCTTTGTGCATGGGGGTGACACAAGAGCCTCATCCAGCTCTTCCATTACTTTTTTAAAAGGTGCTTTTCCCTTTTTTTCTTCTTCTTAGCAGATGTGCTTGTAGAGGGCATCTCCTCTTCATCCATAAATTCAGTGGAAAGGTCGCCGATCACCTCTACTTGTTTGGGCAGATAATCAGGATCCCGCTATTACACATATTAAATAATTTCAGTATAATAACACTGTAATTGTAACATATTGGCAACAATGTGTGAACAGAAGTGTTTTTATTCCATCAAAAATAGTAAAATTGAATGAAATTAGCATAAATTCACCAAACTGTTACCATATGGTTGAGATGTCACTCCATGCCAAGTTTTACCATAGAGTGACATCTCAACCGTTTGGTCAAGCATGTTTTCAAAAAATTATTTGACCCTTATAAAATGTTTTTCTGTTGCAGCAAGTGACATAATTCTGTTAAGTAACGTGTTAGATGATGTAATATGTTGAAAAAACTGATTTACCTTTAAAAATGCAGCCAGAAGTTGTGCATATGTCAGAAGTGATTTTTCTGTTTTTAACTTGCTAGAGTCACGATGAGTGAAAAGTCCTACTGTCAAAAAATAGAGTGCCCTCTAAAGGTTATTTCATGCATAGCATACTTCAGCCAAGTGGTTGAGATGATCCAATCAGGTTGAGTTCAGTTCAACACATTTCCCAATAAGATATAGTGACTCAAAATGTGATCTACCAAATGGTTGAGCAGAACATTTTAAACGTCATCTCGGCGGTTCAACCATCAATTTGATATCTAAAATTTTCTTTATAAAGCCCACGTGACAAGCTAAACAGTGATACCACAAAGCAGTGGTGTGGTGGGGATTTTTTAAGTGGGGGTACGCAATTCGTGACATCACCAGTCCACACTCATTTCCAAATTGGATATTTTGCCAACAATGGTTAATACAGAGAATGGACCAACCAAAGGTGCGAACGTGTCACACAGTGAGTCAAAATACGGAGTGCATACCTATGCTTGAGACCTCTCAAAGCGTGCAGGTCCGATGTTCACGTAGCAACCAGCATTTGTTATTTTAGGCTATTAATTAATCGGATAATTTTATGGCAACAGGCAATAGACTATTCAGTTGATTTAACTAAAAAAATGCCCTGCTTTTAGCCTAGTGTACAGTCTACAGTCGGCTACAGTCAGACTAGATCCAAACCCAGACTTCTGAACCAGTGGGAGCAGCTCTGGTTAAGGTCAGGCTCAGATGAGCTGGAGCTGGAGTGATGTTAGGTGCCTTGGCCTGAGAAGTGCTTTCCCCGGGAAGAAACGGGAGTGCACGGAGGACAGACCGCTCAGAACAAAATATAACAAATCAAAGTGCATTCGCACTTCTGTCCAGATACTTTGCACCACCTTGGAAATCCGCCACACGGAGAACAGGAGCAGCCCGCCCGGAATCTATTGGTCACTGCGCATTCTCGCTTACCCCACATTGATCCAGTGCTCAAAGGACGGCACGGAACCGCTCGGACCCAGTCCACTGCGCACTGGTCTTGTTCATCCCCGTTTGGAGCCAGCACATGGAGAACGGAGCCTCCAAACCTATCTGACCAACACACTCACAAGGACAGCACAAGACCAAAGACCAGACCCCAGCCCCATCCTGAGGGGCCGCACGCTACGGTGAGGGTATCCGTGTCTTTACTGCTGTTGCCTGAACTCAGTGCTTCTGCTCTGGACTGATGTGCGGTGAGTTGTGTATAAAGGTATAGGCTACATGCTGCTCTTTTATGAGTTTATGAGTAAACGGGACTAAACCAGGACTACACCAGGACTAATCTTGGACTTGAGAGCAAGAACCCGGAGCCCATGTGTCCGAAAAGCGCGATCGTTTGATAGCTGTGTTTAGCCAAGTGGGGCGTGGAGCTCTGTGCCGGTCCTTTCTCCCGTGGTCACCTAACGTCTACGCAGGCGCTCCTCCGGGCCCGTCCCGACACTGAACTAAAGTCTGCAGAAGGTTGAATGATGGTGGTTACAAGGCAAACTTCGCTTCTATAGAACATCTTGGCATGCAATATACCTAATGTGGCCTGAGGGTGGCGCAAAAATGCAAACACCAGTGTAAACAAATTACATCTTGACATGATCTCAGGATGAGCTCTGATCATGTCAAGATGTGATTTGTGATTTGCGCCTCCCTCAGGCAACATCAGGCATATGCACGCCAAGATGTTTTATCAATTGTATCTGACGTACATTTGCAGATTCGCCAAGAACGATGCCGACTTCTCCCCTCACACAAGTATTATATGGAACAATGAATACATTTTAAAATATAAAAAATCAATCTTTTCTCAGACCTGGATGGACAAAAATATCATTTACATTTCAGGTCTTTTTGATTCAGGTCATATCTTAAATTATGAGACGTTTTTGCAAAAGTATCAATTTCCAATCCCTTTCAGAGAATTTAAATCAGTTATTGAATGTGTGCCAAAGGGCTTATTACAATTGAGGAAGGGTCAACAGAGAGCTCCATCTTTTTAACCGCTACAATTTATATATAAAAGGAATAGCATTTCTTAATCAAAATTGCAATAACAAACACATTAGGATCAATTTGCTCAGCAACAATAAAACTCAACCTAGAGGAAAATTTTACTGGAACACACAATTTCAAGATATTTAATGGCATAAAACCTAGACACTCTTTTCAATACCCAATCATCAATAAAATATGAGAACTCCAATTTAAAATCTAACACACATTTAACCCCACAAACATTTTTTTTAAATTCAGATTTCTCCAAATCGACCCAGTTTGCACTGCTTGTCACACCCTGAAAACGTTCTTCATTTATTCTTCTCATGCCCCATTAGCTCCACCTACTGGAAACAAATAGAAAATTTTCTTTCCCAGAATTTACACATTCCAATCTTGAATGAAGAAAACATCATTACCCATTTTACACATCAAAATACAAAGATTGAAAAATGTATTCATCTATTTATTCTTCTCGGCAAATAACACATACACAGAGCAAAATTCTCAAGAACAAAACCTTATTTTCCATTACTATTAATAGAAATAAATCATAACTTTCAATCGATCCTGCAGAAAGGCCACTTCAATAATGAACATTCACAGAGACTTAATCCATAGTTAGATATTCTCATCCTTCAATTGATTTACTGTCATATGTTAAGTTATGTTTACATTCTTTCTGTCTTTTTGTTTTATTTTGTTTATTTTGTTGTTTTAATAAATCTGAATGTCTCCGTTACGTGTTTAGTGTATATATGTATATATGTATAATACTAAAAAAAAAAAAAACTCAAATCAAACTTGTGTCTAACATGACTGCGACGCTGGACTATATTAGCATGCCATTAAACTATTTATAATATTATTAAATTAAAACACACACAAACAAACAGACTACGCTCTTCCAAATTAGCAGTTATAAAACCTTCCCGTGTACTTACTTTTTCACTTTTTGCTCCACGGGCAGCACTGTGAAAGTCTGACTCCCGCTGTTCGCCTCAGAGACTGCGGTTCGTCTTCATGTTGTCGTTTATATAAACAGTCTATGGTCGTCGCATGGATCTTTTAAAATGGGTCGCCGTGACAACAAAGCGGTGTTCTCTGAGCCTTGATATCCTTCCGCTGCAGCGTAAAAAGTAGGACCGGCACAGCAGAAGCGGAAGTAGTGTATGGGTCACACATAGAACTATAATAAAATAAGGTTTTATTACAGATCCATGGCATCACACGGAAAATAACAATATTAACATCTATAAAAACATTATAAATACAGCCAAAGGTACTAATCAGTAACCAGATTACAACCATAGCAAATATGTACCGTATTTCTCATTATATAGAAAACTGAAATGCTAATCTGTGCTATTTGTTGTTGTATACAGTTTCAAATGGCCTGTTTTTAATTATCTTACACGATTCTTAAGTTATTAAATCAGTTAAGCTGATTTAATCAGTTAAACTGATTCAATAACAAGAGCTAAAGTGATCACAGTTAAAGTGATTGTTTAAAATAAGTTAGTTTGCATTACCTTCCACTGGCAGGGCGTACACTATGCACTATGAATTCTTGAAAAATAAACAAAAAGATAGAATTTTAGTATAACCAAATATTTGTTACTTTGATTTACAAAACTATAGCATCTCAGATGTATACTAAAGAGAGAGCAGAGCATTATTTAAAAAGAAATCTTACAGTTTATTAAGGAAACAAAATTGCCCTTGTATAGTTACAATGCAAATGTATTCGGCATAAAACATCACATAGGCCTATAGTACATCAAAAATAAATACATCATCTGGGAAACTTTTATTTGAAAGAAAGTAACTGAATTGCAACATCCAAATCTGCAGTGGTACTTGATGTACTGTTTCATGGGTAGTTTGAAGCCAGGTAGTAGGGTATGGCAACTCTCTCTTGAACTGGAAGTGCAGTTTACAACAACATTACAGCACTGGACCTAGTCAGTTTGTAACGTGCTTGTTTTGAATGACAAGTTGAGAAAAGGGGTGACAGTATTATGTCCATGGGAGTAACAAAATACGTCACCATTATTTATAAATGAATACACTGGCATGATGTAGGATTCTCATTCATTTCAACCAGTCTTGTCCATAATTATGCCTCCAATTGTCCTCTCCTAATTTCTTCCATCACTCTGTTCAGAGTAACATAAAAACTGGACAAAACATAATCATGGAGTCTCACAGAAGGGAATGGGGGTGGGGGGTGGACATCATATATTTTATTTACACTGCTTCCCCCCATCCAGCAGAGAATAGGATGAACCATAAAGATGGTGGTCACTTCATATTGATACTTCATATTCACGATTGTCCTGCTAAGAAACAAACAGAAAAATATTAATACACTACACCAGAGGAATATGCTTGAATATATTTAACAAAAATATATGCAAGACTGAATAATAATTGAATAACTAAATAATAAATACATACTCCTCCTGTCTCATAGAGTGGGTTATCAAATTCTGTTTCCACAGTGATTTGTCGGTATGGATGAGGATAGATGAGAGGCAATCTTAAATTGGAGTGATAGCGACACCTGAAGGACAGATGAGAAAATAAATTATAATTATTTAATAAATGCAAATATTATTATTGCTTTTTTGAAAAGAATAAATTGTTACATTCTTCTTTGGACAATATGACTTTATGTTTATAAAAATGTTATAAACAACAACAAAAATAGAGGTTAGTAAGGAATACCTTGTGACATAGACATAAGCTCCTCCCAGCAGCACAGACAGTATGAGCACTAGGATAAAAATGGACAGGGCTATTTTCCCTCCTTCGAGAGTAGAGTGCGCGGTTGCTTCTGCAACTAAAAGATAGCACACACCTAAATGAATACATGGTTTACTGTGGCAGAAATGAGCAGCAAGCTTAGATGGATGCTCTATGTGTAGTAAATCCAACATCAGATGGAGCAAAGAGACATTTGAAATGAATATGACAGGAAGATTTTATTGATGCATTGCAGAGCCCACGCACAAACACCAACATACACACACTCACCTTCCAAAGCATGGTTGCCAAAGCACTCATGGTTGGCTGCAAGACATCATTCTGTCAGTCAGTGCAGACATTATGAATACTGACTTCACTGACACAATCTGTGGGCTTTTCATTGCAACAAATGTGCACCAGAAAATTTTATTGGAAACAGTGCATGCATAAACTTGGGAAAGATGGGAATGAGGCAATTCAGAGTGGCTCATCAGCTTTCACAATTGCACTCTACAGAACAACTAATAACTTTCTAAGTCTGCAGGTGTGGTTAAAGTAATGACTCTGAATTAGGGCCTAGTAGTCAGTAGTCTCTACAGTATATGTATTATGTTAACGTGTCTGCCCACAAATAACTTACATGGTTCAAAATAGGAATGCCAAGAATATTCTGTTAATTAATAGTTATTATTCATGTCAAAGTATAATCAATATATAAATGGTATAAAGATATTAAGAATAATAATTATGTGAATTTCAATTCAATCTACCCCCAAACATTTTTTTTAAATCTGGATGTTTATGCCAACTTGACTTTACTTTTTAATTCAGAAAGTGTGAATTAAACTAAAATGTGTGACATTCCTAGTTCCAGCAGGCTATGTTATGTGGAAAACCTATAGTAACAGAGTCCATTCTATAAGTAGACCAAGGTGTTTCCTGTTTGTCTGTGTCGATGTTGAAATAGCTGATGATGTCAAATATGTTTTAACAAATGCCCCATAGTGACTGAAGGGGGATTATCTTTTAGCAAGACAAGAAGCATTCCATATAGCAATGACAAAGTTGCACCAAATGTGAAAATCTCTCACCCCTGCAGAGAGGAAGTGGTCCACTCCAGAACGATGGATTTCCCAGAATGCATTTAATTGCCACTTCTCCGATAAGCTCATAGCCTTGGTAGCAGACAAAAGTGAGAGACTCTCCAGGGAGGTAAAGCCTTTTGGACAGGATCTGGTAACCATTGTCAGGGAGACCTGGGTTCTCACAAGACACCAACTCCTCAGCTGAAAAAACAGAGAAAATACGTGAAAGGCTAAGATACATGACTCAGGGATAATCTTCTATACTTTCTCTAAATAGCTCATAGCTACGTTATATGGGGCATTAGTTTCCATTTACATATCAAACAGGCATTAAAAACCCTCACACAAGCATGCAAAAACACAAAGGCATCCACGCAGAAGGAACTTTGAGAGGCATCTTGAGAATAGAGATACTGTGAACTGCTCCAACAAAAATGCACTTAAACATGCACTTTATTTAATGTAATTTAATGGACAAAATGCTCATGTTATAACTAACATCTGTTAGACATTATACAGTATGTACATTTATATCAAGTAAATGGTGTCATTTTTATATAATGCTGTTCCACCTTCAAGGCACTCAAAGAGCTTTTACAACAAAGAACCACTCACCCATTCACACACCAGTATACAAAGACACTGGGGGCGAGGCAGGTTAAGTGTCGTGCCCAAAGACACAACAACAGCATTCATCTTTGCCCAAAGACACAACAACAGCATTCATCTTTGGGAGCTGAAATCATCCTGCCAACCTGTGGGTTAGTGGATCAGTGTCGAGAGCGGGATTCAAACCACCAACATTCGGATCAGTGGACAAACTACCAACTGAGCTACTGTAGCCCTAGTACTTGCTTAATTGCACACTGATTAACTGCTAATTGCTAAAACCACATGGTACGAGTACAAGTGCAATGACAATAAATTTGAATCTGAATCTGAAGATTAGAAGAATACACTACCAATAAGCAATGCAATATTTAACACTAAAGCTAAACACTGATACTCACAAACACAGTGTGGCAATTTGGATGTCCACACTGGAGTTCCAGGTTCACGGCCATAGCATGTGATAGTGGCGCCACCCTGTAGGATGAATCCAGGATTGCAGGTATACTGGATAGTTGTTCCCACAAGGAGTTTTGGGTCTGACAATGCCCGAGTTGAATGTTCTACATGGCCTGGGTCTGAGCAATACATAACTGAATGGAAACCAAAAGAAGACACATTTGTAGGAAAAATTGAATTCTTGCTTATGTACATATAGAACAATGTATTTTAATCGTAGCAGGCTGCAGTATAATTAGCAGAACTGACTTTTTTCACAGAAAGGTGGCTGTGAACTCCAGGCTAAGTCAAGCTGGCAAGTGAGAGTGTCTCGTCCCACCAGGTCGTACCCTGGGTCACATTGATAAGTGATGCGTGCCCCACGCACCAGGGCAATGTGAGATGTGGTCTTCCAGCCATTTTGTATCTCTGGCAAGTCTGGACATGAGTCATTTCGAGACACCTCTGTGAACGAAATACAGAATTTGTTGGTCAGAAGATTGTTTTTTATATTATCGCTGACAGAAGTGACGCAAGTGACGCATGTAACATAATCTACAATAAATGCAGAAAACAAAAGTACTTGAGTGTGAATGATTAATGCAATTACTGTAACATAACCTCAATGTGACAAAGACTGGTAGATTCAACCTGTGTTAGACAGTTTAAAATTCTAAACACACTGAGAAGGAAATTTAAAAGATGATCACAAGCAGTGCACATAGATGCATTTGATGTGTATATATCTGAAGAAAAAAAAAAAAAAAAACTCCTCAGGTGGCCTAATTTTTCCCCCCAAGAGGATTCTTTTTACCAGAGGTCTGGAAGCTTGAGGGTTCTGCACATTGTCTTTGCTCTTCCTAGTTCTGCACTTTTCTGGATTGAGATGGCCTGTTGTTTATCCTGTGATCTACTGTAGCCACTCCTCCATTTTGAGGGTTACTGAGTGCTCTGATGACCAAGGGAACCACTGATGTTTTAACCTTCCAGGCCTTCTCCACCTCTTCTTTGAACCCCTGATATTTCTCTAGTTTCTCATGTTCCTTTTCCTACTACAACTCTGGCTTAATGTTGCTCTGTTGTGTATCCACCTCCACTATGTCTGGTTTGTTTGCCATCACAATTCTGTTAGTCTGTATGTGGAAGTCTCACAGGATCTTGGCTGGGTCATTTTCCACAACCTCTGGAGGTGTTTCCCACCTTGACCTTGGGGTCTCCAGCCCGTACTCTGCACAAATGCTTCTGTACACTATGCCCACCACGTGGTTATATCTCCCCATGTATGCTTTCCCTGCCAGCATCTCAGGAGCCTCTTTGTACAACCCAAACCTTAGGTCTTGTCTGGTGTAGTAGATCTGGGCCTCTATTACTCTGGTCCTCAAGGCTTGCTCCTGTGCAGCCAGGATGAGTGCCCCTTTGTGTTTTTCAGACAAGCCCTCTCAAGCCATGGGTAGGATTTCTTGATGTCAGCCCCTTCAGTTATGTTAGGGTGGTACGCCCCGTTGTAGGGGCTTGTCCTCTCATGTTGGTGCCTCCAGCACCTCTTCCTCTGTACTTCACTGTCACTGAGCAAGCCATCTTTTGGGGCTTTGTTCTTGATGTACTTATGGGGTTTGGATGTTTCATCCTGGACAGTGGCTCTCACACACACTCACACTCACATTATTTGTCATTTCAACATAGATTTTCTAACTGTCTCTATCACTCATTTATTACAAGCACACATTTTCCTTTTATTTGACCAGTCTAAAAAGTTCACACATTTTAATCTTCTAGTATGAAAGTACTGAAATGTACTGTGGATCTGTTTATCAAACAACAAGCTAGCTGTTGTAAGTCAGAAAAATATAATATATAAGTTTGCCGTGTCCCAGACTCCCAGTAGGATAACAAGGGCGTGCATAAACTTGATTAATGGCCAGGCAAGAAAGAGTATCTTGTATAATTCTGCTCAATATAATAGGCCTACTGGGATTTGTAAGTCAAAGTTCTTGCATCAATTATTCATTGTCTATTGACTGGGCTCTCTTTGGACGTGGTGTGTGCTGCTGTGTAATATATTCTGAGCACAGATACACATAGTGCTGTCCCAGTTGCACATATAGACACACAGGTATAATCAAAGAGAGACACCTACTATTCATACTGTGTCGACTTGATTTAGTGGGAGACCGTGGTGTTTGCTGCGTGTGTCAGGAGGGTGACAAGTAAATTGGACATTGTGCTTCTCAGTGCAAGTCCAAATTGGTGTCAGGTGCTGGATCTGGGGAGCTCTATGTGCAGAGTGAGTGTGGATTTGAAGTGAAGTGAAGATAGTCAAACAAATAGAATGTGATTGAATAAGGGCAGAGGGGAAAGAAAGCAATGAAAAATAAAGATGAGAAAAACACAAAACCGCATTAGCAGCCTGAGACTGTGAGACACAAAGAAGCCTTTCCATACATTGGGAATTGAAATATGTGAAGTATCTTAATGGCATGTTAAGACCCAGACAAATCTGAGCAATATGTAAATAAAATTAATGAATGTTTTAATTTGGAATACAAATACTATGATTTCATAAGATTGAATGATAGCTTGCATCGTACCCATATAATTAATGATGAAACCTTCACCCTTGCCAAACACAAGTCCTGCAGGATCGGAGTGGAAGGTGATGGTCAGGTCAGGTGTGGTGGAGAAAAGCTTGAACGGGCTGCTTCCTCCAACATATCGAGCCAGAACATGTGTCATAACCTCATCTCCATCTGTGATGGTAAGCATGTCACTGTCGCTGATGTTCATACTGAAAATAGAAGTACAAATGATGTAGCTTGGCTACCAGCTAAGGCCCAGTGATGACTCAGTGCAGTAGTGTTGACAGCCAACTGTGTGGGAACAGATGAACGCAAAGGCTGAAGACAGCATTTAACAGCCACATTTAGTGCCTTCAACCTGACTGTCTAAATACAAATGTATGTAACAGACAAGGACATTTAGTATTGAGATATTACCATACTCTTATTTAACAAATACCTCAATCCTATAATTAGGTCATTGCTTTACAGGTCTATTCAATAAATTATTATTATACTATGCTATTAAAGTTAATGATCAATAAATATATTAATAATAGAGGAATTAAGAATTAAGAAAAAATATGGTCCATACCAGCTCATAATGGAGCCAGCCAATTTAAGACAAACATATTAGCCTGTTTGTTAAGTACACTGTTGACTGTGCATTGATGCCTGTTGTACTCACAGTTGTACATCCAGCAGAACTCGTTTGTCCTCACTGACATGTATCCTCCAACTGCAGTCCTCTCCCTCCCCATACCATTCGGGCCAGTTAGGAGATAGGATCACCCCACCTGGTCCAGTCAGGTCACCACCACACTGTGCTGGTAAGCCATGATATTATAAAAATACAAGGTATCATAAAACACCTACAACACGCATAAGATTCAAACAAAAGTATCACTGATACCTTTACACAATGGCTCTGTGTCATTCCAGTATGGGTCTCTGGCACTGATGCACTCAATGACAGGAGGTCCTTGTTCAAGCGAATGTCCTGGATCACAAGTGAACTGGACAACAGTGCCTACCCCATACAGAGGATCGGACGTGGTGAAGTTTCCATTCTGGAGGTAGGGTTCATAGCAGTGACCACGCTCAAAAGCTGGAAGAAAACAAAACCCCAGATTTAACAGACACAAAATAATCTCAACTTTTTCACCTACTATCAGAGATGCAATGGAAACCATTATCTTATCAATAAAATACAAACAATTGAATAAGGTAGCAAAGGCCATATTCTCTCAAGGTAAACTTATTTCTTGCTATCAACCAATGACAAAACACAAGGTATACAAATAGACAATTTATGGTTTCACAATAAAATACAAAATATAAAAAGTATGATACTTATAAGGGTGAAACAGAGTGAGATTGATAGTAACTTGTACCCTCATAGCGGATGTTGAATCCTGTGTGGTGGTTGGGCTGGTCTGTAATGAACTGGATTCGTACAGCAGGCCCCTCACTGATGACTCCTTCAAAGGGTATTTGCCCTCCACGTCCTGAGTCGAAGAGCACTACAGAGCCAGCATCCAGACCACTCCACAGCACCAACCTGTCAGACATAGACAGATATGCATTCATATTTTTTTACATAATCAGTCAATAAGTATGTTTTGATGTGAGGTACTGGCACCTGTCAGTGGGTCCCAAAGCCAGTCTCTCCAGGTGCAGGTGAAGCCTTTGGTGTTTGGGGGCCTCCAGAGACCAGGAGCAGGAGCGATCATGTGTTGCATTGGGCCCGTGCTGAGGTGAGGGTGAGAGGACCCTGCCTACTGTGGCATTTTTCACTGTGCCTCCACAGAGAGCTAAAACACAGAGCACAAACTATTTGTCCATTCACACCCACATAGAGGTAATGTATCCAGACAGTACCTCGGCAGGTGGGCTCCCTCCCGCTCCAAACAGGCAGAGAAGCATTGAGGCAGGTGAGCAGCGTGTCTCCCTGCAGGTGGTAGCCCATGTGGCAGTGGAAGCGGGCAGTGCCTCCAGGGAGCAGGTCGAGCACAGTCACCTCCCCAAAATGAGGCCTTTTAGGGAGGGAACAGCTCAGTCTGAAGACTTCAAAACAGATAAAAAACAAACATCAGGGTCTCTTTTGTAAATTTTAATTGAATATTATCTACCAACATAAATATCTCTAATATATTCATTGAATCAATATTTAAATGAATGCATGAATTAATTATTTTCATTGCATGAAAGAGGGTCAAGTCATTTATTTATTTTTTGTCGCTAAACTAACTATAATTAAAGTATGCTTTGTGACCTCACTTTGGTAATGCAGCTGGAAGGTGCCAATGCTTCCTTCAGGCCCAGAGCGGTAGTACACTGACATGGTGTTCGTGGGGCTGCGGATCACCTGACCCTCCACCAGCAGAGTGTGGTTGGCCAGGACCAACAGGGTGCCTGTTTCATCTGATCCTCTGATAGAGAGCTGCTCACTATCTGACAGGTTCACACTTTTCACCTGTAACACAAAAGACATTACAAAGATATCTTTATCCAGCAGCTGAACTACTTCAACAACTTTTAAATAACACAACTGTAATTTGCTTTCTGTTTTCTGTTTTAATACTCCTTGGGACTGGGAGTCTGTGCAGTGTATTGAGTAAAAGAAATGGAATTGATAAAAAAAAAAAAAAAACAAACAACAAACAAACAAAAAAACTAAGGTATCAAGGAATCAGTTAATCAATATATAGCTTAGATGTGTTTCATTTAACAAAGTAAATAGCATTGGCATTAAATTATTGGATTAAAATTAAATGCATGCAGTGACTTTAGCAGCAAATACAGTGAGCAAGTCTGCCAGTGGCCACTAGGAGGCAGAGTTGCATCTCACCACCAGCAGCTTCTAGTATGAATGGAACAACAATAGCAGTATAGGACCAGAGAGTCAAGTTTGGTGCTTGGTGCAGTGTACCTGCAGTTCCACTCCATATCCTGTGTACACAGTGATGATGTAGGTGCAATGGAGGAAGGGGCCATTCGGTAAAGGAGGGTCATCAGATGAGTCAATATATCCCTCCGGGCTGGTCAGACTGACTATGCAGCTGGGCACTGCAGAAGAGAGAGCAAGTGAAAAGTGAGGAGAGCAGGATAGCTTTGTGTGGCAAACTTAATCTAAGTAGAAATTAAGGAAACCCCTGTAGTGCATAATTAGTGAGACATTAAAGAGATTAGCCTCCACACTGCAGTAAGGCAGAAAGATGCAAGGGTTGTACCTGTTTGAGTGGTCCCTGTGTCTGTTTCCACACTGCCGGTTGGAGAGGGCCCAAGTTCAGAGCTATCTGTGTGCAGTGGAGGAGGAAGAAAGAGTTTGGGGGGAGCCTCAGTTGGAGAGTAATTTTGGCCCGGTGTTGTAGCTGATGTTGGGGCTTTCTCAGTGTGCAGCAGTCCTCTGTTCTGCTGCTCTGGTAAGCGTGCTCCTGACAGGGGGCCCAGGCTGAGCCCTCTGCCCAAAAGAGGCAGCAGACTGTAGGGCAGGGTAGCAGGGACAGAATCCCCTTTCTGGGAGGCATGCTGTCTTTTTTTGGCCAGTAGGCCACCAGTCAGTAAGGTGGAGCTAGAGTCTTGGTTTATTGTTCCTTGTGTGAGTACAGAGGACAGGGTGGAGGAGAGCACTGTGGGGACAGCTTTATCTGAAAAAGAGCAAAGACACACCATGAATCATTGGGAAAGTGTTTAAACATGTCCAAGAGTCAGCAGGACGGGGTGGGTCTGTCACTGCCCTGCTCTTATCAGAGGTGAGATTATCTCGTACAGCCAAATGCTCACCTCGGCTGCACATTAGCAGTGAAATGCTGTAGTGGCGACAACACCGTTAAGCATGACAGGAGGAAGGGGGAGAAGGGGCACTAAAAAAAGAGAAACATATCGACTGCAAAACGCTCTGCCTTGCATGCTAAAACGCCATCTCAAGCAGCTTAAAAAACAGCACAGAGCAGCATTTACACACATGAACAAATTCTAAATTCGCATCAGCCAGCCGCATGCCTATACACACACTTTATTTTTGGAGCATGCACACCTGACATCAACTGCAGCCAAAAAGGTAGGACTGTCTGCAGCTATATATCATGACTGGTTGATTATTCAAATAATTGCAATTGTGGACCACAAACTCAAAAAACACATGGTAGAAGACATTTATTTATTGTTCAAAATTAAAAACACACTTATATTTCCTTCATATTCTCTATGTAGAAGCCTTAAGTCATCATATTGCCATTCATTTGGCTAGAAATGTAATAAAAAATTTTTTTTTAAAAACTCAATAGAAAGAACTACTGTTTGCCTAATTCACTTGTCAACTAAATCGGTCACGTCTAAAATAATTCCTACAAAGCATATTCCTGGTTCATTGTGTGATACATGCAGGAAACATGCAGAATTTCTTCTAGTTGTTTTCTGAACACATGGGCTACTGTAGACTGTAATCCACGGCAAAACAACAGCAGTCTCAATTAAGCAGAGTCAGTCCCCAAAATGAGTAGTGACTGAGAAATTGAACCATCACATCAACTTGTCGGCATACCAACCAAATGTCATACAAAAGCAGTTACCTCAAGAAAATAAGTTTTTATTTCATTTATATAGCACTTTTCACAGACATATGTCACAAAGACACTTTTACAGATCATTAATTCATTCATTCATTCTATACCAGGTGGTGGTAGGCTACTATTGTAGCCACAGCTTTAAATGACAGAAGTACGGCTGCCAAACTGCACCACTGACACCTCCTCTGACCACCACCATCACTCACGTACACACCACTTTCATACTAGGCAATGTGGGTGAAGTGCCTTGCCGAAGGACACAATGACAGTTGTTGTGACTGGTGCCTCATTGTGGCACCTGATTTTCCCAGAGGTCTCCCATCCAAGTACTAGCAAGTCCTGGCCTTGCTTAGCTTCTGAGATCTGACAAGATCAGGCAAGCTGAAATGGCCACAACATCAACATGAACGCATAAAGAGGTACAAGAACAACAAAATGTGTCACCATTGAATTACTACTGCAGCCCCTCTTTGGCCACCATTTTTCAGAGGACAGAGAAGGTGATTGGACCCGAGCAGGACAACATGCAGTGTCAAGACAAGGGGCAACACTACAACTGAGGAAACTACAGGTGTTTATAGCATTAGGTGGGAAAATATCAGAGACTCTCCTACTCTCTCCAAGATTGTACAAGGTCCAACCCAGTCACTGTCCAGTTTTGGGCACCTGCCCTTCTTCCACTGGGTGCTATTTGGTCACATTTTAATATAGTGGTTTTGCACCTTCAAGGCAATCAAAGAGCTTTACCACTCACCCATTTACACACACATTTATGCACCAGTGTGTTCTAACACTAGGGGCAAGGAATATATATATAGATATAGTCCAGATGCCATCTCATATGGACCTGGACAGGGTCAGACCGATGTTCCCAATGTTCCTCCAACTGCGAAAGGAATCTATGTTTCCCGTTAATACCGCGGGCCGTCCTCATCTCAAGTTATCACCATGAACTCATAAAACAGCAGCATGTAGCCTAGAATTTTGTACGCAACTCACCGCACATCAGCCCAGAGCAGAAGCTCTGAGTTCAGACAACAGCTCTAAACACACGGGAACACTCACCGTAGCGCGCAGCCCCTCAAGACAGGGCTGGGGGTCCAGTGTTGGTCAGATGGGGTTGAGGCTCCATCCTCCATGTCCTGGTTCCAGACGGGGGCGAGCAAGACCAGCGCACAAAGGATTGGGTCGGAGTGCTTCAGTGCAGTCATCTCCGCAGCTGGTTCCAAGGTGGTGCAAAGGAGCCGGACAGAAGCGTGAATCCCATTTGGTTCATTATATGTTGTTCTGAGTGGTCCGTCCGTGCACGTGTTGTTTTTCCCGGGGAAAGCGCTTCTGAAGTGGAGGCACCAGACACCACTCCCCACTTCAGCTCATCTGTTTTTTCTGGTGCAAACACTTTTCATGTGTTTGCATTTGCACACACAGCTGATGGATCACATCCATGAGCAGAGATGAACAAAGGCTCGGAGGTCAGTGATTTTGCCACTTCTTTAACATATTTATGGAGAGGCGAGCCCCCTCACTAATGCACGTTTTCAAGGTATTTGTGACTAATACTTACAACTGTAATGAAATAAATGCTACAGATTTTAATCTAATCCAGCTGCGCCCAGAGGCTCGGTGTAGTTATGACAGCGCTCAATGGAGGATTTATGCGGGTTGATGTAAACTAAAACTTTTTTGAAAACAATGCTGTGTGCACGATGTTATTTTGGAAAACAGAGGGAGGGAAATATTCGTTTCTCAAAATATCCAGCTATGTGTAAACGTAGCCTGCAGTGGTCGGCGTTTGGGCATTTGAATGGTGTGATTGTCTGGAAAAATTAAGGAAGAGGATCTGACCGCTCAAACTGTGTGGGTCTTACTACGTTTATCATGTGGCAATAAGTTCATATGGCAAAGTGAACATAAAAGCATTCGGCTTCTGACGCTGATGTGACGAGAGTCTCCCTGTGTCGCTTTACTCCAAATTATCCCAAACATGGCTCAAACTCCTATTGGGTTGGTTTCAACTACGGCTTCTGTCAAAACCACGATTAGGAAAACTATTACATAAGAACACAGCACAATCAAGCTTTAAATAACAGTGGTAAATTATCCACTGGGCGAGTCACAAGATAACACGTGCTGCCAGGTGTTACATCAAGACATGGAAGCGAAGTTTTGTTGTAGCCTTTTAAAACACCATCGTGCACCCTTCTGCAGTGTAATAGATAAGTGTTATATCTCGTGTTGGCCACTAGGTGGAAGCAGGTTCGGAAAGTGTCAGTTGTTCCTGGGTACTGTGGTTGAGTAACGTTCAGTAACAAGAAGTCATCTACAACATGTTGTCCGCTCATCCTTCATTAACAAGGATATTACATGTGGCGACGAAGAAACTGGTGACCTCGGAAGACGCTGTTGGTGCGGGTAACAGCTTGAGAGTTCTATGAAACAAATTCTCGGCTAATGTCGGACAGCGAGGAAGAGCTAGCGGGATGGCTACTTCCATGGTGGGAGACTGTTGGCGGAGCTGGAGCTGACATTTGATAAAGCCCTGAAAGTCGAGCAAGCCCTCGAGACAGCGAACAAGGATATATGTGACTTGCAAACAAAGGCGCTGGACAATACTGTAAGCAAGGCTGCCACGCCGCTGTCAGTGCATAAGGTGAATGTACGACCTAAAGATCAAAGCAAGAGTGTTCCATTGGCCTGTTATAGGTGTGGGGGGAACACTTGGTATGGGACTGCTGGTTTCTAAAAGAAATATGCCATGGGTGTGGAAAAAAGGGGCACGTGAAGAACATGTGCAGGTTCTCTCCTTGTAGGGACCAGCAACAGGCTAAGGGGGAGGGAAGAACTATGTAAAGGATGAAAAGGCTAGCCGGAAAGAAAAAAGGCAGCACGCACATCATATGAGCTAGTTCACGGATCCCCAGTCCAGTGACGAAGAAGTGTTTTCAATGCACAACCTAAAAGACTCAAAAATGACAAAGGTAGACCCCATTACCACACAACTAGATCTGAATGGGAACATGGTATAGTTTGAAGTGGATACAAGCTGTACTGTGACGATTTTGACAGAAGATGAATAGAGCAAGTTATGGGCAGCGGGAAACGCACTGGAGCTACAAAACTGCTCATTGACTCTGAAAACATACACAGGTGAAAAAGTCTCTACACTAGGAATGGCAATGGTAACAGTAACCTACAAAGACAAAGTCAAGCAGTTGCCAGTAGTACCGGTAGCAGGGAGGGGGCCAAATCTGCTAGGCCGAGCATGGCTAAGAGAGTTGGAAATGAACTGTGTATTTGTCAGTAAGATGGAACAGCCTCAGCTAACGTTACAGAATGTGCTAAAGCAGAATGAAGAGGTATTCAAAGAAGAACGGGGAACCTGGAGAGGCCCGCCCGCAAAAATATACATAAAAGCAGACGTGGCTCCAAAGTTCTACAAGCCCAGGCCCGTGGCCTTTGCCATGAGGAAGAAAGTAGAGTTAGAGCTGGAAAGACTCACAAAGGAGGACGTAATCGAGCCAGCGAGGTTCTCAGAGTGGGCTGCACCAATAGTGCCGTTGTTAAAGAGTGATAGTTCTGTGTGTGTTTGTTGGGACTACAAGCTCACAGCAAACCAAGTCTCCAAGCTAGAGTGGTATCCATTACCAAAGTTGGAGGACTTATTTGAGAAGTTGACAGGGGTTGAGAAGTTTACTAAACTGGACCTTGGTCACGCTTATCAACAAGTCACCCTCAATGAGGCATCAAAGCCTTATGTCACAATCAATACACACAAAGGGCTTTTTCAAGTGAATCGCCTACCATTTGGTGTTTCCTCCAGTCCTGCCATTTTTCAACGGATAATGGAGGGTCTGGTGGCGGGAATCCCTAATGTGGCAGTTTATTTAGATGACATTTTGCTGACCAGTCGGAGTGACCACAAGCACCTGGAGACCTTGAACGAAGTCCTAAGGCGGCTACGAGAGGCAGGTCTTCATCTGAAGCGCAACAAGTGTGCCTTGATGGAGCGAGAGGCTGAGTTCTTGGGACACAAAGTGGATGTCTCGGGGCTCCACCCTTTACCAGGTCAGGGTCATACA